TGAAAACTTTAATTACTTTAATTATTATTTTTTTTCCGTGAGTAGTATCCAATGTGAGGCCTATTAAGCCATGATATACTTTACCTACTTAAGCTTTTATGAAGATCAAGCAGTCTCTCCCTCAGTCTTTGTGACTGCCCTTCTGAGAACTTCAGCAAATACTGTTAAATATTAAATCTGGTTATGCACACAGAATGTGTTCGCTATTTGTTTCTGGAAAGTAAAAGGATTCTTCAGACATCACCAAATGGGAAAAAGATCAGTCAAGTACATGTAAGACATGGTAAATTCACTTAGGCTACGCATGTGTTGTCAGGGGTCTTTAAGGTTTTTTCTGTTAAGTGACGATGCTCAGTTGTGCTTGAAATGCTAGTTCAGTTTAAAAGCAAAAGATTTGCATTAATACAGAAACAACCCCTATACATTTAAGCCTCAGAAGGCTATAAAGGTGTTATTTTGATGTGCCTTATTTGGTTTTTGGACTCTTCAGTTACGTCAACAGTTGCTGCCAAATGCAGGGTAACTTTGGGGTGGAAACCTGTCAAAAGCTACCATCAACAATTCACCTACATCACTGATTAGCAATCAGGTATTCACACTTGAATGATGATCCCTGCTTGGACTGGCTGTGAATCCATCACACATAACACATGAAAGGTGCCAAGTCAGATTTTTTTTGTGTGCACTTTTTGAAGTACAACTTGTCTCTCTCTCTCATATATATTGTTAGAGGGACTGCATTCTTTGCCACTTCTATAATGAACTTCAACACTGACAAGTAAGAACTGCTAGCAAGGAAAGTTTCTGCATATGCTCCATCCCCGTCCCGAGTTGGGTTCTAATCACACATCTTCTGATCAGGTCAGACCTGGCACATCCTTCTGGTATTGCTGTGTCTGGTCACCTGAAGCTGGCAGAAGCACACAAAGGACTGCAAACAGCCTGAAAACAGCAGCGCACTGTGCCACTGCCATGGAGGGAAGGATAAGCAGCAGTGCCTGCATATTTTCTAGGTTCACTTGCCATCTTTATTTGGATCTTTGGGTAGTTTTAAACATCCTAATCCGGGCTCGCATATGGTGAAACAACTACGGTAAAGACTGCTGCATTTACCAGTCCAGCTGCTGCTTTTCTGATCAGTGCAGGATGTGCTCCTTCCCTCATGGGTTCTATCCCCTCAACAAAAATTCTAACAGCTTCAATTACAGGATGATACTCCTGTAACTTCTTTCTTCAGAGCTGTATTCCTAATACAACCCACTTCTGAATCTAAGAGGGTGTGATTACGGTCCTGAGGCACTAATGAAGAAAAAACAGGCTTACTGACTTCATATCTTATGATATGAAGGCATAATCGGTAATACATTTGGTTTCTTTTCTTGATCTTAGGACTTTAAGATCTGCAAAGGAAACTGCTGTACAGAGGTCATTTGTAGGCATAAAGACATTTGGACAGTGACATTGCCCAGAGAAATTTCTGCTTAAACCCATCACATCCTGCCTGAATCAAAACTCATAAGGTTTTTATAGCTATGAAATGGAATGGAGTATATCTTTTGTTTTGTAAGAGTTTCAGAAGTCTATCCAGGTGAATGACTTCAAGTGTCTTGTTATCCTGCTGTCCTGCACTTGTTCTGCACCTATCTGGTAGTCTAAAAATCAGTATTTGGACTTGCAGATTGCTGTGGCACTGCCAGCTTCTGGCACGATCTGACACAATGCATTGAAGAGTGCAGTTCCTTCTCTTTCCTAATGGACAGCATCCCTCTTACCTGAGGCTCTAAGCATCTCTAGTACCTTCCTAGGTCAAACATTTTCAAGCATGCTATCTGCAACTGAAACAGACACATCAAGTTTCCTCACCAACACACATTTCAGCTGTTTTAACGAAGCTAAAAATCAGTGTCTCAGTGTCTCCTTGTCTTGTCTGGTATTGTAACATCAACTATGTATGCTCAGGTAAAGCAGACTGTGTTAGAAAATGGTAGTGTTTTGTTTTCATATAAGCAAACCCCCAAGGCATGGAACACTCACTTTTGCCAACATCTGTGGCAGAAGTCACTGATTCCAGGGTGCTCCTGGAGGACCACTCTCAGGCTGTTCCCTAGTCTGATTGGTCTGGAAGTAAGATGGGAGCTCATATGGGGTGTTCTCATATGGGGCTCTGCCATAATCAAAGCTGAACGGGTGGTGAGGGGACATCTAACCAGACTGAGTTCTGAGAATATCCACTGCCTAATGCAAACACATCTTTTAGTTGGTATAAACCTTCCTTGACTACGAAGGGACAACCTTTGAATCTGGCTTGACATGACTGAGGTACTGCTTTCAGTATGAGTTTGTGGAGGTACAAAGATTTCCACTGTTAGTCAACAGCCAAGATGTAGGAAAGGAGGAACACCAAGATGAAGGACATACGGAACTTTGATGCCTAATACAAACTTCAGTTACCTTTCTACCTTCTGCCAGTGGTAACAAGTCTAGATATCGTATGCAGATATGCTGGCTTTTCCACTGAAGAGGTATTTTCCATGTTTCTATATCAGCCTTACTTCTGATCTTCTTGAAAATATGCTTCATTAGGATCATCTGTATCTGCCTAAGACACACTGAAGAAGAATTTTTTTAATAGAAATCACACCATACTCAAAGCTGCTTGCCAAATATCATTTCCAAGTTCCCAAGTGTTACCGTTCAACAGTAATTTATGAACGTAGCTGTGACTGTCTGAGCAGAAATGACTTATTAGGGAACTTCTAAGTAAACATGTTTATTACCCTGAAATCCTGACAGCAAATGAAAGAACTTCTTTAGTTGGAGTAATCCAAGCTGCCCAGCTTGGGAACCGCAAAGTCACAAAATGTACTTCAATATACATGCAAAAACAAGATATATAGAAAAAAAAGCAAATTAGGTTTGATTTTTTTTCCACTTGGCAACTATCCTGATTTCCCAAACTTCCCAAATGACCAGGAGTCATCCATGTTCTAACAAAACCAAAATCCACTTAGCAGAACATTCGTGGTGTATGAGGCAAATCCTTACAACGTGTGCTTCTAAAGACATGGAAGACTTAGCTACAAAATTCAGAAGGGAAAACAGAAGTTTTCCTTTAGAGGACATAGCATGAATAACTTTTATCTTACATTAAGCTACAACTGCAAAGGTAATCCGTTAATTATTTCAGTTGGGAGGAAGCACGAATTTAATTTGTCCAGACAATCCCTCTGCTCCCAAACTGCCCATCTATCCTTATCTTATTTGTACTGCATTTTGTGTTTGTCAGTGAACTGCCACAACCAACAGAACCATTCTCACTAGCCTGTCACAGGGATTAACTGTAGCATAACTCACATGAATTCCTCTTTATTTTCTCTTTTACGAGTATTTTCAAATGTTATATTCACAACCTGAATTCTTCTGCTGGAAATTAAACTGTGAGCAGCTCAGGCCTTCAGTTTCTATAGTTTCTCCATGGATGTGTTTGTGAATTTACTCCAACACTTAAACATTCTTAGAAGCTGTTCATAATATGCAGGTCTGTTTCAGGATACAAGTGTTTGTTCTTTTCACTCTGGGACTCCAACCACAAATAATCAAGACAACTCAATCTGTTCCAGTCTTTATCTTTAAAAACCAAACTCAGAAAGAATTACATGATCAACTCTCCTTTCAATTTACATTTACTATCCCAATTTTAGCTGAACATATGTTACCCAAAATCATTTAAAGCAAAAGACATCCAAGTCTAAGACATCCAAGACATGCATTTTCTATCCTGATTCTGCATGTAGTTTTCTTTCCTCCTTTTTAAGCCCCAAATCAACCTTCAAGAATCACGTTTCAGTATTCAAACCACTGCAATGTCCTATCTTTACAGGATATTCAGAAAGCCTTTCTGATAAAGAACAACAGCAATTGTCCTGATTTTTCACAGGACTTTATGGTTGTGGGTTTTTTGTTTCTAAGATAAACCACTTGCAGTACAAACATAAGGCATGACTAATCACAGCTCAATTTTAATTGAGCTACTGTCTGTTCGTAACATAGGAAATGAAGGCAAAAAGCAATGCAGCAAATCTGGTAACTGGCTGCAGCGGAGAACATTTGGTTGCAATTTCTTACATTCTGATGGCTTCATTTAATACAAATTCTAAGCACATACACAGGCCCATCTTTGTTGGGAACAGAACTAGTCAGATCATAATTAAAATATTCATTTAAACGTATAGCATTTAGACTTTCAGTACATGGGATGTCACGCTTAGAACAATTACAGGTGTCTTTGAAGCACAACTGAGGGACAAACTTGGTGTAAATATCTCCTCTCCTCTCCCCGGAGTAAAACTTTTCAGTCATAGGGGATAAAAACATTTCTTTCTTACCAACTTTTGCTTACAGATAAAAAATTACGTCCATCCAGAATATATACGGCATGTTTCAATAAGCTTATTTTTTCAGTATGAAATAACATCTTCACAAAGATGACTGAGCAAAGTCATCTTGAAATGATCATTTGAAAATAAATATTACCTGTAGAAAAAGCAGGAATAATATATGGGATATTAAACTTAGAATTTGTGCCATTTTTTTAAAATGATATTTCACATAATCAAAATATGAAGCTACAAGATATTAAACTGAAAAATATCTCTGAAACATTAAAAAAATAAAATGCTAGCAGTGCATAATGTACAAATAAATGAAGCAGCAAACAAGAAGCCTGCTGAGATGAAGGAAATTTGGTATTAAAATATTCATTTAAACGTATAGCAAATTAAAAACCTAAATAAAGATCCTATTCAATTTCCCAAACTGCTTTTGTCTACCCTACCTATATTCACACCATGTTCTCAAATGCTGTCGGATTTACTAGCAGAGTATCTAAAGAAACATCATTTGGACACAAAAACATGAAGGTTATTTTTTTCAACCAATGTTGCTTCGATGACTTTTTATCTTTCTTATAACGTGATCAAATAACACAGAAAAACAGAATGTATACATGGCTAATTTTTTTCAAGTCATGTTATGTACATTTTATTGCCAGTATATGCACAATGGTAAGCAGAGAACTATAAATACACAATGTAATTAAATGGTAGAAAACAACAAGAATGTTACACGTAACAAAGGAAAGAAAGAGGAGATACTATTTTCCTGACGTAGCTGTTAAGAAGGGCTAGTGACAGGTTATGACAGCCTTGAAGTCTTTACATATATTTCTACAACTTTTCCTCCAAATAAATCTCTGTAACAGCATTGCTTCTTTAACAACAACATCTCAGCTTTTCTCTGATTCACTTCAAACTAAAGTGAAAACAACCTTTCATGTAACTACAAGCATCTGACAGTTTTTCACTCAGTTTTGGTTTTCAGGGTACTTAGCAAGCAAAGTGTATAAGCGGCTCTTGCAATATTTGGCTGTGTGTTGAAGAACAGTTTTCAATATGCAGTAAGTGATAATTTGGGAAAAACAAAGACTTTGTAGATAGTTCTTCCACCGGGTGCTACATGCAGCAGCTCAGCCAAAAATTAGTCACCCTGAAGAGGTAGAGAGAATTTTAGCCTAGCATTGATCATCATCCTTGGCACTACAATGTTCTCTCTTATCAGGATATATTCCTACAACTAGACAACACCACAATCAAAGGGAAAGAAAAGCTAGGGAAAAAGAGTTTCCATCATTTCTGGGAAGGGTGCTGCTTATCCCAGTTCTCAGTTAACTAACTTGTTGCTTATATCAAAGACAGAAAAAGAAAAGGAAAAAAAAAAAAAAAGAAAAAGAAAAAATAAAAAGATGAGAACGTTTAGGGACACATTTAGTTGACCTGTTTTCTCTTTCCATTATCAAGTTCATAAATACAAAGAACCATTATTCACAATAAACTAACTCTTTTTCAAAAATGGAAGAACAAACCCTGGAAACATTTCCACACCTTAATCCAGATGGGTCTTGAGGATGCTATTCAAGAAAACCATGCAAACATTCGGTGCAGCTTTCCCAACTCATCCAAAATATATAATTTTTTAAATTAGAAGGTGGCAAGATCGATAGCATTTGTGACTATTCCCTCCCCCCCAATAAAATTCAATGCAGAAAATCTTGGTGCTTTTAGGAAGATAACGAATAAATAGTTTTCTGCACTGTTGTCATAAAATCCCATGTGAGTTACAATACAAGACTACTGGTTCCAGCAATTAGGTTGAGAGGAAACATTCTAGTGATAAATACATACTGAGCATGCTTGGGCAGAGCACTCCATTCTGAAGCATCCTGCTTGAAGAAGGAAAGGTGGCAAGGATGGTTCACGTCCATCAAGTGACCATTAAGTCTGCTGCTAAAAGCAGACTGCCACTCTGTCACCAGGTCGGCAGGGCTGTCTCCCACACCAAGAGGCACTGGTGGCACCAGTCCTCTGCTGTGCACACAAAATTCTTATTTATGCAACAAACATACAACCAATGAACAATATCACTTGTACAGAACTGGATCGATCCAGCTTTTTATAGGCATACTTCTCAATCTCCAGAATATCCCAAACAAGCTGTAAATAAGATGATGAACCACCAACAGTGACTGAGTCTCACTGCAGTCCAGACTAGTTTGGCCTAGTTTCACATCACTTCTTGTTTCTAGCGAAGGACACAATACTCAAACAAAATAGCAATAAAAACAGTGTTATCTGCAGCTGAAAAAAAGCAACAGAATTTTATATTTTAACTTCTGAAGCTTAAAGCATACCTGTATAATTAGCATTAAAAAAAAACTTTTTTTAATACAATAACACTGGCAAAAGTTAATGGGAAGACACAGAGGATCGTAACAGGATAGCTGATGAATTAGATTATTTTTAAAATTTATTCTGCTTTGACCAACTGATGTTAATACTGCTTTTCCTTAGATTTGGAATAATTCTATTGCAACAGTCACATGCAGGCTGAAGACAGCCGTTGGTTAAGGAAAAAAAAAAAAAAAAGAAAAGAAAAGGAAAAAAGAAAAAGAAACCAGGGTTCCAAAAGTTGTGTGTAAGAATTTTCCTTTCACTTGATGAGGGCTTTGCCCTTGCTTCAGGAGAGCTGGTTAATTCTTGTCAGCTTCATTAGCTTTGTCCAGACATATCTGCTGTCGTATCCCCTGGTCCAGAGCCTGTTTGTGCACGCTTGATGTAAAGGTTCAATAACTTCATCTGCAAAGCCAGGAATTAATTTTGTTCAGTATTTACACACTGTGCACTCTACAGAAATGATACATTGAATTCTTCTCTTAATTCTTCTCTGAAAAGGATTCTTCTCTTAAAAGCAAAACTGTATTTTACACCATTAAGTGAAAGGTAACACACTTGCTAATATCTAACACAGCAAATCTAAGGATGTGAACAAGAAAGCAACCTATGGTAGCTACACTAAGACAGATACTTTTCCCCACATTACTGTGCTGCTCTGATTAAGGCAGGTTACTGGCTTTGTTTTTTTTTCTGTTTTATTTTGCCTGTTTCTTTCTCTTAAGTGAATGTTGTGGTTTTAAGCCTCTACTTACAGGCATTGATTCCAGCACCTACCAAAGTTTCCAGTGCTGTCTACAGTCATATTCAGTGCAATCACTGCCAGACTATTTTTAAGATGTAGCTGTTTTATTGAAATGTATACAATATTAATTGTCTTGCTTTAGCTCCATGGACAAATTCATAACATACATCTATTTGAATGTAAAAAAACAGTACATAAGAGGTTTCCTAACCAAAAAAGGAACACAAGGTTCTTCCTCACCAAATCAGAGGTTCTGAAAGGACAGATTAAAGCAAAAAACAAACAAACAAAAAAACACAGAACAACAAAGGAGACATACGTAACATAAACATAAACTATGTTACACAATAACTGCTTTTCAGTCAGCACTGCATGAAATACCAGGCAAGATATGGAGGTAGAAAAAGCCATGCTGAATGTAGCTACTACCACTGTTTCAGAATAAAAAGTCTGACAGTGTACTCAGGTAAAAATTGTTCTGATTTTTTTTCAGCCACTGACCATATACAATTAAATAAATCTACTGTAAAGCAATAAGAAACACAACTTCTTATTTTTCAGGTTGCTGAAGTTTTGTGCATATGCCTAAGTACCTGCAGACCTATGGTTTCAGTTTTGAACCTTTGATATCAAAGTTACATCGACCCTCTGAGGGTTTCAGTATCCCTGGCTATCTCCATTCAGATACATACTTTTATGTATAAACTTCCTGGTAACTGCAACCACAACACAAACGTATACAAGTAATTATGAACCAAAACTTCTTAAATGCCATTTTTTACTTACTTTACTGCCAGTGAGTTGACTGAGATGTGGTTTTAGTTCATCACCAATTACTGCATGAATGGCTACAAGGCAGAAAACACATGCCTTACGAACACTGCTCTCTGAATTATCATAACCCTAGAAAGCAATAAAATTAACATTAATTGCTTATCAGTTAATGATTAAAAGCCTCAGAAAACTATTCAGTACTACTTATAATAAATACATTAAAATCTACTTTAAGTGAATGCTAAGCATTCCAAGAAAAAAAAAAAAACCACAAAAACAAACAAGTGAATACAGAACATGCACATTTGAAAGGCAGGCTGTTATTAATTACCATTTATAATTATTTTTCAGACTGAAATTAAAACCCATACAATTCCTGTTCGTAATCTATACTGGAAACAGAGCTGCTGTCATGCTCCACATGGAAATACAGTAGGGGAGATCACAGGATAAAGTCTTCTAGATTACAGATATTTATTAAACAGAAGACCATTGCATTCAGAGCTTTCTTACTCCTAAAGAAGCTGTTTCTTAACAGGTAAAACTCTGTTATTAACTCCCATCTTGTTACTGAATGATTTTTGTTTCTCATGCCTGGTTGTCTCACATCCCTTTCTCAGAAGGCTCTGCCTCTTACCTTCTTGCAGATGTGTGATTTGACCTTATGCATTAAAGTCAGAAATCTGCAGAATGAAGCCATCAAATTCTGGGAAGTCTTTATTCAGCACATGCAAGCTGATGTGTTTTGACTCTTTATATGGTGGCAGATTATTCATTTTTAAAGACAGAGAAAGAAACTTTTTATAACCTCCTGGTTTTATTGAACTTTCCCCAATCAACTGCTTCCTTCCTCTTGCTTCCCCCAAGCCCCAAGTGATAAAACCCTGCAACAGTACAAACATTCAACGTGGATGACTTCAGAGCAAATGGTCACAACTTGGAAAAGATACTACATATAACTGAAAGAGTCTATTAAACTTAACTACAGCCAATACTTCATATCCTAGCCAGATCCTGAGTCCTAACCACAGTTACAGTTTAGCCAGGTGACAATGAAAGACAGCGTGCTCACTATCTGAATTAGTCTGGGTCAAAGTAGCCATCAGCTGTAAGACCAATAAAAATCCCTCATGAGAGCCAAGCAATAGTATTTTGAAAAAATCTTTGTAATTCTTCCATACAAAGAAGGTGGGGTTTTTTGCTTTGTTTTTACCTGTATTAAACCTGGCACAATCTCTGGTAAAAGCTGAGTAAGGGTTTCTTTAGATACTCTCTCTATGACTTTTGTTTGCATTTTGATTGCAGCCAGATTAATTGGGTAATCTGCAGTCTGGATAATTGGACAAAGGACTTTGATGCACTGATCTGGGCTAATGGAAGTGGCCAGCATGGAAGCAGCTTCTTCAGCAGATCTCACCACCTATCGAAAGAATGAAAAAGACATAGAAGAGTATTAGTGCCAGTACAAGTCTTGAGCATAAAAATTTCTTAACAGCTCCACAGCATTGTAAAAATAGGCAAAGGATTTTTAAATGTGTGCAATTTTGCAACTGTTGGACTACTGTACTAAAAACAAGGCTCTTCCCAACACCGTATGACTGAACTGTATGTTCTGCAAGATGTGCATTGGTGTCTTCCAAACCTGCCTGAAAATACCTTCCAAACTTGACAATAGCTGTCAAATCAGATCTGAAATCTCTCTAGTCTGCAATGCTATGCAGAATATAAATACAATATTATACAATTACATATTGAAATCTCTCCACTATTGAAAGCCGTAATTTCCTGTGTTGTCATTCATTACTGTCTTTGACCATTAATAAGCTTCCATGTTCATCTCAAAGACTGTTTAATGACAATCATAGATTGCTACTTCTGGAGGCTTCCCCCATCTTTAATTTTTTAAAAAAATTCAGTTAAGAGTTCTTAAGACTCTTAGGGAAGATACAGGAAAACAGTTAGTGAAAAGGTGCAGAAGCTCAGGATACAACACAGACATAAGAGGGAAAATTCATCTCTTCATGTTTCTGCATCTGTGGTGTCTGGCAGCTAAAAGACAAGCTGCTAGATTATGTACAGAAAACTCCAGAAGTCTTTCCCTTCAACCTTGTCTTGTTGACTCTTTCTCACATGCATTAAATAAAAAAAAAAGGAGAAATGGAACAGTAATATGGAAGGACAAATGGAAAGAAAGAAAAAAATAAACATGGTGCATGAAATCAAGAGGGCGCAGGGAAAACAAAGATGAGTATCAGATGAGTGACAAACATCACTGGTATGGAAAAAACTGCAGTCAAACTTCTGAATTTGGAACTCCACACCAAGTCCCACATACAGAAAAAGTCCTATCATAGGGAGTGTGGGAGCAAGGAAAGCAGGGAGAGATTTATGCATCTCATTAGACATCTTATTTTCATAACATCAGTGACACTGATGTGAAGTGTTTAATGTTTGGGTGGTTTCTCTATTTGTGTTTCTTATATCAAAATACATCATCCTTTGATGTGTATGCACATTATCATAAGCTTTCTGAGCAAGATTACACTCATCCTACTTCTGAATCTCCTCACAGTTCCCAGCCACAACCAACTCTTCCCTGCAGTATCTTCTCTCCTGGAAACACTCAAAGCCATGCTCTCGAATGGTGAAGAAGAATAGCTTAACCAGAGCTGGTTAAAAATGGGAAGGGATTGTAATTTCCTTGCCATGTTCAATCCTATCTCTCAACTACCAACCTTACAGAAATCCAAAGGGTTGAATTAAATAACTGGGCTAAAAAAGACATCTAACAAAAAACGCCCTTCAGTTACTCTTCATAGAACTCTGCTGGCACATCCTTGGCTATGGTTTTACGTCCTCTTGGGCAGCACCCAAGGTAACTGTTACTAGGGCTGATATTAAGCATTTCAGAGCTTACAAAACTGTAGTTCTTTGTTTTCCTTTTTTTTTTGCATGCCTGTGTTAACATCTTCATTATTACACAAATGATTCATTGGTAAGACCTGATCTCTCAAACACTTTCTGGACATAACACAGCTGCTGCATTCTGTGATATTTTGTCACAGTCTCAAACAAAGAAAACTGCTTACTAACCTCCTTATGAGGATCCTTATGCGCTTCTAATGTCTTCATTATTGTGAGCTCTGCATAATTCTTAAACCTTGCTGGCTGATTCCTTAGGATTTCTCTTAGAACTTTCAATGCCAAAGCTCTGATTGCATGCTAGAGATTAAATATTAAAACAAATGAGTTATGTAACATTGAATAGGCAAATGTTTAAGTGTTTATTCAACAGTTTATAAAGTTTTGACATAGTAAAACATCAGTGCCTTTCTATGCATATATACAATATGAAACTAATATGGAAATAAATGCAGCTAAAAAAGGTCTTCAATTGTTTGCTCTTTATGAAATAATTCAGGTGGTGCATCATAACCATGCTGCTAATTGGAACTATCTATGCTGAGCTGCATACAATTTTACTCTTTGGAGTATTTTAGCATCACACAGTCACACAAATACATTATCCTTGAAAACAGACATTTTATTATTATCAAATCAAAAGCAATTATTAGTGCCAAATAAATCTGAAGGATACTTGAGAAGATGGCCCTTCACCATTAAGCGATTCACGAGTTCACATGATGTTCCTGCATTTCCATAACTGCTTGCTTTTCAAGACTAGCTGGAATTTGTGCTTTTCCTACAACCCACACAACTTTAAAAGCCACTGAAAGCAAACCATGTGCATTTTTAACTAGATTAATCTAACCTTACCTCTTTGTCTCCAAGTGTTTCAAGCAGCAAAAGCAGAATTGTTTTGAAGTGCTCATCCCAAACACCAAAAGACTCTTCTTGAGTTAACTTCATGAGCTCATACAGGGCAGCCTTTCTTTCCTCCACTCTCTCGTTATGGTTTGATAACTCTTTTAGTAACTCTGCAACTAGATCAGAATGATCCATGGGAGGCTCTATCAAAAAAGGAATGTATACAAACAGAATTTTGAAACTTGGTAAATATTAGTAAATATTAGTGCCCGATGCAGAACTGAAAAGTATCTTCTAGGGTAGCTAACTGCTTTCTTTTTGTTTTGTTTTGTTTTCCTCTGCGTCTGTTTGCCAGAATTACAGTTTAAATACTTCATTTTCAAAGCAGCCAATATTCCTGACCAAGCTTACAATCACAATAAAACAACGATGATACAGCAAAAAACAAAAGCATCCACAAAATTGAAGAGAATCCAGCAACCTGTAGGCTGGCTTACTGCTAGAGATTCTTGCTCCTGTAATACGCAAAGTGGCAAGTTCCCTGGATCCTTTTAAATCTGATCTATACAACAAAGGGCTGCTTTTCCCATTGACCTTTCCATCGAAGAAGAAAAATTCACACTTGCACCTTCAGTATTACTGTACTGGTCAGACTTTTGTAAGCCACAACTCCACAGCAATTGCTAGGCTTTCAACACAAACAGGAGAACAAAATGCACAAGAGTGGTCCTTGATGTAAAACAGTGGAAGTACAAACAAACCAAGGCTTTTAGCCTCACAGAGATTCCAGGGAATGCCTACTATCCCAGTGGCAGTCATTACAAGATAGCACTGGATTTCAGTTTTGATTACGGAGAATTCCATGATGATGGAGAAAAGTATCAGTAGCAATTCTTGTTTGGAAACACTGGACTACAGATGTGGGAATCTGCAAAGTCAAAAACAAAAGCCTTGATTCTGGTCTAATTTAAGTAGAACGTCGAGATATTGCCTTTACTCCATCATCAGGACCCTTTTAGCCTTCAAGAAAGAAAAGCAGATAGCTTCTACCTTTGCATTGAGACTCTGGAATAAATTGACTTCTTTTTTTTTTTTTTCTTTAAATTCCCCTGGACAGAGGCTGAAAGTTTTCTTTCAAGGGGTAAAGAATAGCATTAAAAACCAAGTTTTCCCAAAACTGCACCTTTCCCAAAATTATTGCACTTTATTAACACATGAAATACATTTTTCAGAACAAATTTATTAGGTCATATACTGAGAGACTACAATTCTTAAAAACACGAGGACAAGATGTGGGGTGTATTCTTTCACAGTTTGTATTTTCCATTCCTGTATATGATTTAGCTGTGGTATTTAATTCCCAAACATTCTCCAGATAAGAAAGGAGAAGTGTAAAAATCTACTTGCAACTTTTTTTTCCCCCCTGCAAACAACAACAGAAATGAGTAGGAGCAAATGCAAGTGCTTCATCTGAAAGAATTGAAGTACGTAGCAGATACATGTAAAATATTATATATATACAAGTATTTGATAAAGAACAGCTCTTCTCAAACCATCAAATAATGTCATTTTGACAAGATACGCAGTGCTGGCAAAAGGAAAGCATGGCATGTTCTGAACAGAATAAAGATTTGCCTACTGTCTGAAACATGCCCAAGCAAGTCAACAGGGCAGGAACAAAGCTTGGATGAAATACCTGTAAAATGACTGGATTCTAAATTGCTTTCTATTACTCTTGGAGGATACCAGTGATGTCCCTGCTCAGACCTGTGCACGGCCTGGTTCTGTTTGATGCTTTTATTAATGCTTTTCATGGAATATGGAGACTGCTTTTAAAATCTACAAACTATTTCATTTTAAAAACAATGAAAGAGAGAAGAAATGGTAATGAACCTGATAAATAAGGAATGATCTGAAAGAAAAAAAGATGAAAACTAATGACAGTAAGTTAAAGGCAAGACAAAGAAGTGAATTCTTAAGCCCATATACAAAGTACTAGTTAAAAAAGCAGACATATGCAAAGCACAATCTATGGAAATGAGAAGAAAGAAAGGAGCTTCTTTGCAAAGGAACACTGGGTTCCAAACAGAGGCTGTGTACTGCTTCTAAGGAAAAGTGACTTAAAAATCCGAGCTAACTTTGGCAAGAGGAAGAAAAATTCAAGATTTTCAACAGATAGCAGCAGTTAGTAGCAAATAAACACAAGACAAATTAAAGAATATAGATTTTACACACAAATGAGATGAGACTATCAGATCCAAACCATGGGGAAGAAAACAAACAAACCAAAACCACCCCAATGGATGCATTTATGTATGTATGTATGCATGTATCTATTTTGCATCAAACAATATTTTGGTATACACTCATATTCAAAAAAGACAAGATATGTCTCTTCTGAATAATTGCTACTATACACCAATAGATCCAAAAAGCAGGTAGGTAAAGAAAATGAATATAAAGATTGCTGAATAAAATAATTAATGTGACAACACATTTTGCTGGAAGAACAGAGTGCACGTGATGATGTGTAAGAAATTTTTCCCAGGAAAAAGCCTACAAAACAACAACCCAAATTCCTACAGATAAAAGAGCTAAAAGATTCACTTTCCAGGTAAAAGCTTTTTTTCCCCTTGCAAAAGCCTGTTTAGTCAATATAAAATACCAACGTCATGTTTTACATACAAATATTTTACTAACAAAATACTTCATCTTTCGCCTAATTCCTGAACTGGTTTAATCCAGCTTTACTTGTTGTAAATGTTTTTCTTTAAATCTCAACCATAGAGTAGTGTGGTAAATAAACTTTATATTGACAATCCTGCTGTTAAAACAATACCAGAAGAATACAATACCGTTCAGTAATTACCTCATTTCCCACCCACTCTCAATCGATATAAATGTCAAACAATCCAACAGTGTCAGTCAAAAGGATTGCTGATAAATAAACTAGTTTAAAATATATTATGTAAAACCTCTTAAGGAAATGGATAGTGCTAAGGGTTAACTCAGAAACTGAACTAAAAGGTGAAAAAAAAATGTCACAATTTCCCTTCTAGAACAGAAGGCAAACTGAAGCTTACCATCAGGAAATTGCTCTGCATCATCATCAAACATGGCTTCCTTCAAAGCAGATTTATTAAACGAACTATCAGAATAATTGTATGGGTTATAATCTCGTGAGCGTGGTGAAGAGTGAGGAGGCATTGTGTTGAGTAACGACGTCTTGTTATCAAGAGCTGTTCGGCCTGTCTCACTCACACCACCTCCTGCTCGTAGCTCTGCTATTCCAGAAGCACTGCTAATCTGCAGGAAAAGAAATACCAGATTTATACATGACACACACTTTTCAAATCACTACTTTACACACACATCTAAGTAGCAGAAACTTCTAAAGATTGGAAAGTTTCCTAAGCATTCCTGAGGATACATTAAGCTGGCCTTCAGGTAAGAAGACTTTGCTACAGCACCCTGAACTTCACAAAAAAAAAAAAAAAAGAAAAGAAAAAAAAAGGTGTACAATTCATGTTTAAGCACACACACTTTGGGCAGGTTCAGCAGATCTGAAAGTTGAAGTTCCACAGAAACAGAAGTTTGAAACAGCGTATTCACCACTGAAAAACCTCTGGGTTTTGAATGGAATTAAACTTCTGGGAAAAAGAACAGTGTACAAATCTCTCAAAAATTAAACTCCTTGTTCTATGAGATGAAATTTTTAAAAGTACTGATGTTTAAAATTAACAAAAAGCTAATGCCACTTAAAATTAGCAATTAAAATGCATTTTGAATGCTGGGAACTGTTATGCTTGTTTCTTTTAAGCTCTGAAGTTAGCATATATGTCCCACTGCAGAAATCGGTACAGACAAACCTACTTAAAAAGATGTTTTATCTTTAATAGTAAGTCAGATATTGGCTTGATTTGCCAGTACCAAGATGTACCACGTTTACTCACTGAATCAACATCATCTTTTTTTGAATCCCGTTTCACAGGTTCGTTCATATCCTCCTGACTGCGGAAACTGAAGTTCTGAATAGCTTCAGTGACTCCACGGAGAGAACTGTAAATATCTTCGGAATTCATGTTTTCTGTATCATAATCAAATGCACTGTGGGCCATGGAAAAGGACATACAAATTAAGGTGGATTTATTTTCTGATCCTGTATTTTTAAATAACATTAACATGGAAGTACAGACACACAGGAAACAGTAATAAAATTAAGCACTGCAAGTGGCTAGCCAAGAAAGCAGCATCTGACTCAAGTACAACTTCTGCTGTTTTACTCTTCTAAGAGGATTTTACACCATTCTCCCTCTGTAAGAAAGATTTCCAGAGTAAGGGGAACTGATCAACGTATTGACTGACTGCTAAAAGCAAAGTTACAAAATCCACTTCACTGACAACTCTGATGCCATCAAAGAAGGTAAGAACATTTATGAACAATTCTTATCCCCCCCAAATTAATTCTGGCTGGATGACTTAAGCTGTTTTAACATGTGCTGGGGATGAAGGTTTCTCTTCCATCTCCTACTATGCCTCTTGCACTCTCAAGTGCACACATTAGGAAAGCCCTGGCTCCTGTCAGACCATTCAGAGAGGTGGAACACTTCACTATTATGTCATTCTGTAGAGAAAGAGGGATTATTTTTCAGCATTTGCGACTGTGCAAAACACGCTCAATTTGTTCACAGCCTGGTTTACTATTTTGGAGAACATGTTTAATGAAGCCTTAGATGCAGAACTGCAGCAACACTGGCCAACATTACCTTGGTGACAAAGTGTTCTGCGATGTATTAGTTGGGGAGGTGAGAGGACTTGACCAGCTTGCTGGGGAGCGTGGAGTAGGTCTTGTCAAAGGACTTCCCATTGAACCCTGGTAGAGAAGAGATGAGAAGAGATACTACAACAAGTCCATGGCTTCCCCTTTATTCCTTTTATTTTCTAGCCTCCATAAACATTTAAAGAAATGCTATTTAATTTCTTGGCTTCTCTAATCAATGACATTAATTTCAAATGTTTAACTCTGAAATAATTAATGTAAGAGATAATAAACACTTCTCTTAACAAGTCCATTCAAACTTCGTTAAGTCACTGACTTGGAAGTAACATACACTGAACAAATATCTCTGCAGGAAAATAAAAAGCATTCCATAAGGAGTGGTATCTGCTAATAAGACTTCATGGGGGGCTTGGATGACCTCCACTAATTTTCTCACTCACACAACTCTAATGAAATGGACTTGTGTCCAAAACACCAGTAAATTCAGAAATAATAATATGGAAGTGTAGATACCTGACCACTGTTGCCTGTATTTCGGAGATGATTATGAAGAAGCTTTGTGGCTCCATCCTGAAATGTTTTTGGTAAAGCACCCAGCAGCATTGTAAACTCAGGAGTATTAAGTTCAAAAAGGGAAATGAGTACTGACTGTGCAGCCTAGAAGAAAAAGCAGATTAAAATCACTAAGTTTAGTTGCTACAATGACAGGCAGTCACAAAAGGTGATGTAAGTATTAAGTTAATTTAAAAAAAGATATTAGCAGTTATAAACTAATGCAGTTCATATGCACTGCTAAGATCAAGGTTCAGATATTCATAAATTCAGGCACACAACAGTGAGCTTACACCTTTCAGAATCATCCTAATAAGCAGTCTTTCAGCTAGATGATCCTCAGCCCTCCCTCCCCAGAACTCTGTTTACTAAAAGGAGTGAAGGAAGTATCAAAATGGCTTCTACAGGCAAATTGAGCAGATTTTAAAACGGAAAAATTGAACACACCAAATAGGAATAAGTTTGTAATTCCTTCTCCTGAATTCCACCAGTGGTAAGACACAATACCAACGGACTAGCTTTCAAGCACCATGATGATGCAGGCTACTCCAAGAGTAATGGCTCCTATTTATTTCTGTGGAAACTTCAACTAATACAAAGAGCACAGTAACACTACTTAATAGAACAAATTCTCAGCTACCAAATATTTTTTTCAACACAGTAGCTATGCATTTTTATCAGCTGTGAATAAGAACCTGCATGCCACACTCAAAAAAAAACCTGCACCAGTGGAGATGACCGTTTTACAGCTGCTATGACAGCACTGTTGCCAGAAAACTGTTGCCCATGCAGTCCATTTTTCATCATTCCAGACACATGGAAATCAGGAGTCACCAAATCCCGAGTATCCTGTGGGTATGGCAAGACAGTCCAGCCAAGATTGGCAATGTGCTCTATGCTCTTCAAACTGGTTTGAGGCCCAGTGTAATTGTGTTGCAAGAGAAAGGTTGTCTTCTCTGGATGGGCTGTGGAAATTCAAGCCTTCAGCTTAACGTCGTGATGCAGCAGCCAAAGTTGATGGTTAGTTTGAGTTCCAGGAAATCCAGAGGGATCACCCCTTTCCTATTTCAAAAGACACTGCATTCTTACCTACTGAGGGCTGTGTCATAAACTTTTTCTTTGATGGGAAATGCACGCCACCATGCCAAAGACTGCCATTTTGACTCTGGACTGTAGTGGTGACATGACGTCTCTTCATCCCCAATGATGTGATCCAGGAAATTTTCACTTTCAGCCTTGTATTGGCTCAACAGGTCATAAGACTGTATGCAGTGTTCTTTCTGTTGCTGTGTGAACATCTGTGGGATCCACCTGGCTCAGACACTATGATATTCCAATATAGCCACCACTTTCTCCAGCACATTGAAGGCAATATTCAGCTCCACAAACAGACCCCTGGTTGTAATCTGCCATTTCACATGGATGAAGTGATCAAGATGTTCTTCACTGTGTGGTACAACAGCTGTGTGTGGCCATCCAGAACATGATTTGTCTTTCACATTGCTGTCACCACTGCAGAAACGCAGCACCCACTGCCTCACTCTGCTCACATCCACTATTTGGTGTCAAGAAATGTTCAGCAAGTATTGATGAACGTCAATGGGAGCATTTTTTTTCTGCATGGAATAATTTAATTCCACACCTTTGCTTCAGATGTACTTCCATACCAGACGCCATTTGATCAGACTGCCCCTCTGCTGCCATCTGTCGCACAGCAACAAAATGTAACAGGGTTCTGGTGCGAAGGTTCAACCCCTACTGCCACACCACCAACCTCTGCCCTCTGACACTGTGGGCCAGGAACAGGAGATTTACTTTTGGCACTATCTTCTTATTGCTATACATTCGAAAGATCAAAACTTACGTACTGGAGTTTGTAGTGTACTGGATTACACCTTCCACACCCCCAATTTTAGCACTTCATATTTAACAGCATCCTCATCCTACAGCATGTTTTCATACAACGTATTCTATTTATTTACTTCTGCCAAGAGGTAAATCAACAGTGACAAAGCACTACAGTATGTTACAGAATGATGGGATACCACTTGAGTTCCTCTCTGCTAAAGAAATGTTGACTGCATGACTTAGTTTGTTAAATATTCACTGGACAGGCTAACAAAACTGTGAACATTGCAACTAACTTAGCACATGCAATGAAAAGCTAGTGATTATTAAGTTTCTTTATAGAATGAAACTCTGGTTCTGAGATTAACCAACTTTATCTAGTTTCAATAGAAGTGACACACCATCAAGGTCTGCCACGCACTGGAGAGAACCAGTGCCTCATGCTAGCCAGAATGACAGGCAGCTTGGTTCAGCACCAAAAATACTTCAAGCAAGTAGTTTGGAAATTCTTTTAGACATTTATTTCCCTCCTTTGCTTCGAGAGCAATGAACTGTAGCACTTTTTAATTAGAAGTGGAAAGCCAAGCTATGAGAGCACATACCAGCACACGTCTTAGTATTAAATTTAATGATGAAAATTCTAGCATGTTAGAATGCCACAAACTGTCTTTGCACACTCGTGATCAGCTGTTTTCTTGTACTTTTATTCCCTCCTCCCTGAACAGTCTTCAAGTGAACAGCCTGAATGCCCTCTACAACCTGTCGCTGGTGCTCCGTTTTTCCCTCATTATTTCTTTTAGTCAGTCTTTTCACATAAATTGATACATACAAAACCAAAACAAAACCTCCAACTGAACAAAGGTTTGGAAGGTACCACTTTCTTTTCTCTGTCCTGTTATCCGCATCTTCACTGCCTAACACTGTGTCTACTTAAGCTGCCAACAATAATAACAAAACATATATATAACAAAATACAGTCTACAGTCATATCAGGAAAGAAACTGATAACCATCAGGTTTGCCTACAAGCTCAACCTGAAGTATCAAAATGGAAATCGACTCACAGAAGGGTTTCATTAAGGAGCCCTCTATTTTCCTTCTTCCTTATTAATAATAATAATAAAAAAAAAAAACAGAGAGAGAAAGAAAGAAAGAAAAAGGGGAAAAAAAAGAAAAAAGGCGTTTTAGAGTATTTGGCTTTTTTTCCCCTCTAAGTATAAGCTTGCTCTCTTGAGATTGTCACATCCACTCACATTTTAAAAGGAGTAAGAATGAGAGGTATGTTTTGTATTGCTGTAACTTAGAAGAACTCTAAGATTTTAATTCTTCTCAGAAGAGTTTTAATTGTAGAGGAAAGTAGAATTTTACACTCCAGACTGCAGTCCCTAAGTAAACTACATTAACTGTGCCCATCTGAACACTAATATTAAAAATAAAATAAAATAAAATAAAATTAATCTACTTGGAATGTTTTTTGTTTTGTTTTGTGTTTTAGAAAAAAAGCAAAATGGCACAGAAAAACAAGTGGTAAAAAAAGTCTTAATTTAAAGAAAGCATGTAAGATGTTAATGTTGCTGTCATCTTTAAAAAAAGTTTAGAAAGATTGACATAACCATGCTAACATTTTCAAGTCTGTCAACAGAATGAAACATTTCAAAGGATCAGAATAACTTTTTTTGACTATTTATTGGCAAATTTTTACTTTGAGACTTACTAAAGGCTTTTGGGAGTTAGCAACCCTTAGCAAGTCTGTTATGGAAAGAAAATATAAACTGAGAAAGCTTCATATAATTAAAGTGTTCCAGATGATAAAACTCAAAGGCAATTCTTTCCATGATTCAGTTACTTATTGACATCAAAATGGTTATTAAAGATATGAAGCGTAAGATAAGACAGCTCGCCACGTGTCTCAGTACTAAAACTACTGATTTAGAAGATAGTGCTGCTTCAGTTCCTTTTCTGGTTTATGGTCTCATGCATGTCACTAGAACATGGTAACTAGGCGAGACAAGTCCAAAGGATAGAACCTGTTGCTGCTTTCTCATGCTGAAAGTTATATTAGAAGTGGAAGGTAAAAAAAAGCTATCTGCATTATAAATTTTGCTATGGTGAATTATTATAAACAACCAAGATATCGAGAAGTGGCAAAAGTTACTTTCATTTTCTTTTGCAGTATACACTGTGAGAGATAGCTCTCCATCTTTTTCTATCAATTCTCTCCCACAAAGCTTCCCTCCTGAAGGAAGCTTTGATTCTGATTCCAGAAACAAAGTTGCCAAAACTCAAGCTGATCTGAATCTAGCTAAGGAAATCTGAAGAAATAAATTATTTTTATTTCAATGGCAGAAATATACAGGGAAAAATGAACAGAAGAGTTATAGGTCTATGCCAAACATGATTCTGCTTTATGAGCAATAGACAAAGTATTTCTATTTAACATTCAAGAAGTGATAACATACTGATAAAGGCAGCTAAACAGGATGGATGCTGACAACGAGAAAAACAACAAATAACTCTATTCCATCTATATGCAAAGAGAATTCAAAGAAATTTGCTCTCTAATTTCAAGAATTATCTAGTGTACTTTTCTGAAGGCTGCACTGGTAAATTTCTCATGGTTATTTTTTATCCTTATTCTGAATGCCCACAAATATTAATCTGGCTTTACAAGAGTTATGTGGAGAGGGGATTTTTGCACTGGAACTGCAGCATCACAAGAACAATTCTTTGATACAACCTCATGTATAAATACCAAAGGCTAAACACAAGATTGCTTACCAGTCTCTTGTGTTTCACAAAAAACCTAACTGAGGCTGAAGTGAGCTCACGATCACAGTCACCATTCCTATTGTGAACGTGCTATTACTATTATAGATGGTTTTGGAAGTAAGATTGAAACTGTACAGAAAATGTCTACAGAAAATATCTTAATACCAGAGAGTGCTTGAAACAAAAGTTAATCCCTGTCCTATGAAATATGATCTCTATATATTAACAGATGTGAAATACAACCATGATGTGGAGATTCAAGATTGTAAATTTTACTGGAACGTTCCCAAACATGTACTTTCTGGTAGTTTTACTTTGGCAATTTTGGTATTTTAGACACAACTCTTTGTGGTATTCGCTCAGAAGGACACAGAAGTCTATTTTCTCCAGGAAACAATAAAATTGTTTTTAAAGAAAAATAAACTTTTTTTTCTATTTAGGCATGAATTATCAATAACTTGTTTAATCTGCCCAAGACACTTGGAATATACTGCAAGTACACATTAACCAACATACCTTCCTAACATCTGAGCTTTTAGGTTCTGTGGTCCAGGTGATGATTCGAGACACTGCTAACCTAGTTTCACTTGAATTTACAAAATCCCCTGGATCCATCTGTTGTGCAAGAGTCTCTATGTATTTAAGAATTGCAACTTTTACCTGTAAAGAGAAATAGAGTTAGCTGGATAATAAAAACTGTGCGACAAGAACAAGAGTGCTTACACAACACAGTGCACATTCTCTAAAATACTTCTTTAATTATCCTAAACGTCTTTTCAGCATTGGCATAAAACTTCAACAGCAAATTAATTTACAGAGAAGTACATTGTTTCAAGAAGGAAGTTCTACAGAAACTGTACTAATAGAAATTTCATATTTCACTGGTAGTGACTAAAAGGTAACGGATCATTTAACAAACAGAAAATGAAAGTACTCAAAACATTTGTGCACATTCAAAACTATTGCGAATTTCTTTCAAATATTAAAACAAAAAAAGGACATAATCTGATAAACCGATAATCAGGTTAAGTTAGAATATGATGTAGTTAATACTCAGCACCCTTTTATGAAAACCAGTGCACACAAGTCAGTACTGCCAGGGATAAGCTCTATGAATCTTCTGGCTGAAAATTAAAAGCTATGGAATAGAGTTTCCACAAAACTCTACCTTGACACATAAAGAGTTTTCCTTTGAAGATATTAAGGAGATAGACATGAGTTTACCAGAAGGACAGAAAAGCTGCCCAGATGTTCTCTGAATGACTGACTCCCCTTATGCAGAATTACAGTTATAACTGTCCCAACTGCAACCTCTCTTTAATTTCTTCAAAACTGCATCACTGCCCAGCTTTAGCAGAGGGGTGCTATGCCTGTAACTCCCTTACACATTCTCTGCTCAGTTCCTGCTGCCCCAGAGATAACTGTCATTCTACCCATCAAAAAAAGTGGTTAACATTCATTTATGCAACCTTTTCAACTTAGGTATTTCTGGCTCAGTGGAATTAAAAGCTGCTATCAGGAGGGAGAAACAAATGCCCCTCATAAGCAGAAAGCAAGCAAGCTCCAGGCATAATTTCAATTATATATAACTTGTAGTGTTCTGAACAGAACTATTTAGCAACTTCCATTGGTCACCAAAACTTCCAGGCTGTTAACACACACGATACAACACTAAATGACATGCACATTACTGATAGCTGATACATTAATAATGAACACTTCATTTTCACAGCAGCTGTTAAAATTGGACTTTTTCAAGGTTACACAACAACCAACAGTTAGAGGTTTTCAGATTAGGCAAATCAATACCAACATACTTGGTATGAAAACACTATTGGCAAGATTCTTTCAGAGAGAGGGAAAAGACAAAAAAATCCCTATAATGAGATGCACATATTACTGATATACAACACCCTAAATTAAACTCTGAAAGAGCAGCAAATCTACTTATGATGCATTTTAGTCACTACTACAAACAAGTGAGAGTAGAAATAAAAGTTTTAAGATAGTACTCTTCAACAATCCAATTTATCTCTGCAAGACCTGAGACAAATGATTTTTAACTGCAATGAAAGCAGCTGCAGGAATTCTTAAAATTACTATTTGCTGTTCATCTCAAACCACTGTCTCTGAAGCTGTTTAATATTGCCATGACTTTACTTGCACGCTGTAGGCTGAATTTATTGCATCTAGCTGGACTATAAGCACTGAGACGGTGAGTATTTTTCCTGGACAGAATACAATACAGACAGACACTTAAAGAATAGCTGCAGTAAGTGAGCTGAAATATAAAGCAAGCTTCAGGTAGCACTATTATACACAAAAACTAGATAAATGAAACCAAAATGTTTCCATAAAAATCTTTCACAGGTAAATTTTGGCACAAAAATATTCTGTGCAACACATCAGATTCAGGGAATGCTGTAAGGATGCTACACAGTCAGTGTCAGAAGGCAAACTGTTTTCCTGTCCTGTGAAACATTTTAGATGTACTGAGTCTCGTTTTGTCCACAAAGATAAGTCACAGAAATGTTCCACCTAATAAGAAAGAGTCAAGAAGAATGCAGAGAATACCTTACTTAAAATAGACAAATGTCCATCTCATACAGCACTCTCCTAAGATGGAAGAGACTGAACTCTGCTTTACTCAGGTGAAATGCAATCACAGTGTTTTCCAGCTTGCCACATCCCTCGTGTCAGTCCTAGCAGCTGGGTTACTCTGATACTGCCTCTATCTTAGAATCATAGAATCATAGAATCACCAAGGTTGGAAAAGACCTAAAAGATCACCCAGTCCAACCGTTCACCTATTCCCAATAGCTCCCACTAAACCATGTCCCTCAACACAACATCCAGTCTTTCCTTGAACACCCCCAGGGTCGGTGATTCCACCACCTCCCTGGGCAGTCCATTCCAGTGCCTGACCACCCTTGCTGAAAAGTAATACTTCCTCATCTTGCTTTAACCAAATGACTACAATAACCCTAACGACTGACTTTTAAAGGGCTCTCATTTCCATGAATGTGCTGTGTTTTTGTCTTTTTATTTTTTTAATCCAGAAAATTTAATACGACTTTAGAGGGAAACAAAAACCACCAAACAACTGTAGCAACAAACTTTTCAAGACATTAATATTTTCAAAGGAAAGAATAATTCAGAAATTTCTAATGAGCTCTGGCCAAAATGCTTATTAACAGTTCTCTCTGTATGTGAGCCATCATGTATTCAACCTGAGAAAAATGAAAGCGATGCTTTGAAGTATTTTCCAGGACAACACTTGTCCATAAGAAAACATATGCTCTGCACCTGCAAAATAATAAGCTTATTACATGATATCCTGTCTACTGCGTGTGACTACTATGCATAAACTTAACAAAAACAGATACATGCACCTGACATCTGTAAGCTGTATTTCAGCAGTTCACCACAGCTGCATGTTTCCTTAATGCCAGTGAGTAAGACAGGACACAATACAGCACTGTGTGTATTCTATACCAGTAGAATAACATCATCTCTGTTTGTTCAGCTTTCCTAATCTACCTCCTGGAGGCACTCTAAAAGCTTCCATTTATTTTCCAAGGCTTAGGTGTGTGTAAATGTTAAACGATGACAATGACAGTTTAATCTGAAGGATCACGACTGGTAGTACTGCCACGTGAAAACAGGAAAGAAGCATCATATGAAGGAAGGAATCCTTCCATGAAAGCAAGTTTGTGATTTTATCACATCCTGAACCAAAACTATCTCTTTTTTATTTCAGAGAAAAAACAAAAGCTGAAGATCCCAAGAAATAGAGCAGTACCTAAAGATTTTTCAGTTAATCTCAGATATCTGGGTGCACTGAGGTTGGAATTTTGGCAAAACATTCAGAGTGGATATTAGACAAATAAATTTGCAATTTAAGTTCAGTAACTTCATTGCTTTGATCTGAAGTTGTAATTATCTAGCAAAGATGGAAGATGGGGGACAGGCACCACTTCTTTCTGAAAAAACTCACCTTCTCTTTAGCAGTTAGATAATTAGGTGTCCCAAAAAGAATAGCTCAATCACCAAATTCACCTTTCTGGTGAGGAAAACCAAGTAAAATAAAATCCAATTTGTTCCAAGGATTTATTTAAACAACAAACTGATTTTTACTACCTCATTTGCTGTCTTCAATAAATGACAGCAGTCCCTTTTTAACACAGCTCTACGAAGCAACAGTGGTCAACGTATCAACTGTCCTCAAAAGCTTAAAAATGTAAGTTTTACTGTATCGTAGACAAAAAAGGCATATTCAGGTGATTTTAGGTTCAACATGACTTGGAAAAAACGTATTCTTGTGCAGTATCAAATGGCGCAATAACAGTTCGTGCAGGACAGAGCAGAAAATGCCAGCTATATGCTTGTTATTTCCCCATTTATCTCACTGGTAAATCTTCAGATTTGATGCATTTATCCTAAAATCATTTGTAAATGGAAATGCACTACAGGATTCAGGTTGGTGTCTTTTTTTTCCAACCCCCAATTTTCAAGTTTACAGGCAGAGATTTTTAACACATAACAATGTGTGTACATACAGATCTACACACAGCTTTCAGAAAAGTAAGGGTTCTATAAAGGGAGCTTGTTTTTAAAGCAAAAAGTTTACATTAAAATATCTTAAAGGAATTGAAGACCTAACAGGCTAAGCACAGGAAAACTCATACATGAACTAGGAAAACAATACTGGGAAATCACAAACATAAAATTAGAAGACTTGATAGAGTGAGTTTGCATAACCAGCTTGATGTTAGGCGGCCACATTTTTTCTTGCTCATTTTTACTGTGCTGTGGTTTTATTAGATCTCACTTGCAGCAAACATTTCCATAGTAGTGTAATGTTTAAAGTTGAACATCTGCATGCTTAAAGTTTCTTGCAAAGGTTAGTAGCAGCATATGAATGCATTCAAAAAAAAGTTTTGGAAACACTGTAAGAGTTTTGGCAAAGGGTTAAGAATAAAGACAATAATTCAGACAAAAACCTTGGAGCTCCAAAAAGAGCGAAGCTGGTCCTGCAGTGCTGGCTTGACTGTCTGCAATTTTACAAAAACAAAATCCACTAATTGAAAATCTATTTTTTTGTAAAATGGAAGAAAACAAGAATAACAATCCAAAGGTAAGTAAGACAATCAAATGACTATGAATTATGATTCTGTTTATCACGTAAGCCTGAAAATTCTTACCTTCAAACTAGGTGTTTGGGTCTGGTCGACAGTAAATCTCATTAAAATACTAAACTGAAGATCATTTGGAAAAGATTCCCTGTAAAATAAATCACATCACGTTTTATTTTATAAACTTTAAACTTTTATCCTACCAATTTTGTTGACATTGACTTTCAGAAACATTCACCTAGCTCATAGAGGACAACATTTAAGAAGTCACTATTCTGAAGTAGTTAAACCTAAAATACATATAATGCAACTAGTAACGAATTATACTGCAGTACTCTGAATCTAAACACGTGCAATTCAAAAATCCCACAATTATTATGCACTTCAACTGTTAAAAGGATACACAACACTCCAAATTTCTCTGAACGATCCTGTCCATTCTCCCTGCCTCTGTTCTTCACTATTGCACACTCTGGTATAACCCTACTGGGCCCCTGCTGCAGCAGAAAATGTTTAGCTTGTCCCATTCTTCAGAGAACAGAGGATGAGCAGAAGATTCCAGAACTTTTCCAATTCTACTTAAAAATCTAGCCTTCATCTGGGAACAAAGCTGGCTGGTTGACTGCTCCCAGAACCACGTGAAGTTGTGTGGGGAGAGTGAAGGAAGGATATGGCAATAATAGATTTGCTTTCTAACTCCTTAAGAGACGTTCTAACAATACTGCAACAATATTTTGATATCAAAAGGAAGAAAAAAAATAACTAAAAGCAATAACATACATGGCTCAAATCCACCTTTTGAAATTTGGCGAGTAGAAACATATTACTTGTTCAGCATTAAGGAATCAGAACTCCTCAAACATTTAGAAAACCAGAACAGTTAAGCAGTCAGTTTTTTCATGATCTGTTGTTAGGTCTGTATTTTTCCAAGAATCTGACTGCATGTATTTGCACATACGTACAGACAAAACACCTTGGAAATAGCATGAGGTGATGATCTATTACATTGCTGGTTTTTTTGTGTGTTTTTTCCCCCAAAATTACCTTGTGACATCAAGTGCCTTCTGAACTTTTGCTTGTACAGACCCAAGCAAATCAGCGCCCATTTTCTTCAGTAGCTGGGTCAGCAGTACAAATAGCCAGTCCTGCAGATCTTCTTTATGGACCTGGATGAAGTCCACCAGAGTCTCCAAAAACATACTGAACACCTAAAAGGTATAAGAAGAAGGAAAGAGGGTAGGATGGGGAAAGAGGAAATGACACTGACATATGCTGAACTTACAAACAAAGCAGCAGCAGTAAGGGAATCAGAGGCAGAGATAGGCAGTGTTTTGCAGCCAAGCAGGAAAAAAATAAAAAGAACCTGTCTTGCTTTTTCATTGGATTTTGATACAAGAGTACAGTGGAAGCATTAGCTGATTTCTGCAGAAGTTTGAAAACTAGGTTTTCCATGCAGTATTGTCAAGAAAAGAAATGCTTACTGTGATGGCTGGCGCAATCTCATTTATTTTTAAAGTAAAACTTTTTTTTTCCCCATTTCAAGCTTTATCATTAAGAGGGTTTTACATACTCCTCAATGACTACAAGAACACCTTCACTCTAAAGCAAAAAAAGCAGCTACTGTGCTCTAGTAGAATCTTCATTGTAAATATCTTCACTACTAAGTACTGCAAGATCATGAAAGCTGGCCAACTCCTTACATAAAACATTTCTGGAACAGAACAAGGTTCTTCTGCTATTGCAGATATCCAAACTCAAAGTCGTTCCCCAGAGCAGGAAAAAAAGCCACAATACGTTTCGGATTCACAGCTGTTTCAGTACTTTAGTAATCCAAAACATATTATCCATTGTGTTCTTTTAAACATATAATGCTGAAAACACAGTATTCAGTTCTTAAAAAGTGATGCATACTAATGTATAATAACTTTACCAGGGAGATCAGGAAGGAGGACATCATAAATACACAACTTCATCTGAACAGTCTTTTTAGCATCTCTCACTGATTTTATGCTTTTCCTACGCTTGCAAAGATCTCAAGACATGTATGCTATAAATTCAGTGTCGTTCATGAGTTTCCCATTTCTCTGATAACAAAAATGAGTATTTGAGCTGAAGATGCTGCCTTCACATCTGACTTGCATTCTTGTTCCAGCAAATAGCTGGGTACAACAAAGTTGCTATGATACGAAGAGGTCTGGACACATACTGCCTCCTGAGTATGTACCTGACACGGCTACAGGGTTGGAAATACCTGGTGAAGAGGATGGGCTCTAACACCACATCCTCCTCCTCCTCCTGCAGCTTATCTGCCTTGTGATGACGCCAAATTCTGCTGCTATAGGAGTGGATGAACCCCAGCAGTAATGATACCTCACAAGGCTGTAAGATACCACACTACAGGAACGGGCTTACATCCACACCGCTGGCCAGGAACGGAGGGGTCAGACCATTAGTGAGGGAAGTAGACCTCCTAGCTTTTCACGATGACAAATCAAGCCAGGGTAAGTCAATTCATACAATGAAAAAAAATAAAAGAGATCAATAGAGTTAGGTTAAAAAATGTCTCAACATTTACAGTAAAAGTAATCAGATTATTTCAGGACCACGTAAAGACCAGAGGATCTATGAAGAGACACCCTGAACACCAAAAAATCTTCATTAGAAACAAAATACAAATTCTACTTAACATAAAGCCAATTAGGATGTAATAGTACAACCTCCCTTTTGGGGTAAATTAGGTTGAAAATGAGAAAAAATATTGCACTTAGATTTTTATGCAAGTCTGACATTTAAAAATTGCCCTCCTCAAAGTGGGAAGTAATTTTCACACCTGTGATTGTAAATGCCTTCTCTATTTGGCTGAACTGAAACCATATGCCATAAACACAGAGTTAATCATGGACACAGTCTGTAAAAGCTAGACAAAACCAGCCAAACAGTACTTTCTCTATTCTGATGTTACTGTCTTTGGATTTTACAGCCCCCTAGAATAAGAAGAAAAAAATAAGGTACTATAAAGATTACATTGAAGTCTTACAATTATATTTAAAATCTTTCCAATTAAATTATTTAGCACAGCAGAACTTAGAAATTGTACCTGTTTCTTAAAGTTTCTGCATACCAGTACACACAATTCTTCATTAAATTTGCAGGCTGAACAGACTGGTTACAACAAGCTACTGGATGGAGTAATGTAGACTCCTTATGATACTTTCAACAAGTAAAGTGGGTTAAAGTGAAATCAGTATGAAGTGAATAATGAACCACTACGGCCAAAGTACTTTAAAAATTTTGTGCCAACTTTTTAATGTTAAAAATGCACACTCACAACTGATGACTAAGTTTTCTTTTTCAGGCTTTGATTTTAGCTCTATCACATGACTGCCAGCAGAAATGTTGTGTAAGTTTCATCACTTTGTGGTATTTAAAATATAAAAATATCATGGCTTTTTGTCTCAGTCAAAGCGTGAGGATTAAAAAAAAAAAAAAAAGCTGGAAGAGGATTTAAGGTAAAGGATGAATTTGGAATGGAAAATGGAATTCAGCCACCTTCGTCCTGAACAATGTATGCAGGTACTACAACTTCTGCAGTCTCCATTTTTAAGATGCAACTTACAACTTCTATCAAGCACCTAAAGCTGAAGTTCTGAATAATTTGATAGTGGAAAAAATAAACAGATATGAAAATAATTGCAACTGGTCTACCTTTAAAGTGAATTATTTCAGATGTGCCAACCACCACAATATAAAGCAGGAATGCATAACCAAACAATGTCAGTTAATTAGTAGATAGAGCACATCTCAAAACTTTGCCACACAGTTTACATCATTGTATACAGCATTTTATGATTGCAAAAGGCTTGACACTGCATGAACTTGTTGGGGAAGAAAAATAGAGAAAAAGGGTTAATTGCACATTCATGCAAATAAGGTTAGGCTTCCAACAAATACTGAACCAACTTACTCTCTAAAGAGAGTTCCAACACAGGAGACAGCATGCAAAACAAAACAAAACAAAAAACAAAAACAAAAAAGGGAAAAAGATAAAAACATATAAATTAGTGGCCACCAATACAAAGTTCCTGTATGGAATATAAAATGAAACGAAACAAAAAAGGTATTTCAAAGCTTTCATCACAAATTTAAGGATTTTATTGGGATATCTAAACTATCTAAACTAATTGGAATATCTAAACAGTAAGCACTGGCACATCCTTCAAATCATTCACCCATTTTCTCTGCCAAATGATATTACTGTCCTGCCAAGCAATTCCCTACATCCAGATACCATGCTAAAAGAAACCCTTTAATGGAAAAAAAGACAACACAGAAGTGATGACAGAACAATTCCTACAGGCATTTGAAGACTGTAAGATTAGATCTGTGCAGCTATGTATGCATGATTAAAAAAAATCCACAGCTCAAGAACTTCTGATACTTGAGCTGACCCCCCAGTAGCATATTCACAAATTATGATTAGTTTTGCAATATCAAAAAGCAGGCAAGCTTTCAGCGACCGGAACAGGTGCTAATACTTATGCTACTGCATTAATCACATTTCAGAACTCAGAAGTTACATTATCCCATGTCGGAATGCCCAATAAACAACAACCAAAAAGTTGATTGGGTTGCAGTAATTCATAAAGGCCCAACGGAAATTTAAAATGCTCTTCTGACACAAACAGCTGGATTTCGGAGCGCTTTCATTCTCCTCCTCCACCCTAACCTCAACAAAAACCTCCAGGATAGCACCAATAGGTGCAGAGCTGCTGTATGAATTAACAGAAGAATGAACCACCAAAATTAAGGTAAGCTGCTATTCACAATTTTATCATACTCCACTAGGAAACCAATCACACTTCAGTATTTAATTTTCTTTGCTCTCTTCTTCTAAACGGAACATTTTGTTTCTCTTCAGCCTGGTTTTTGTTGTTTCTTCTGGATTACTACAGTATGTAAGCAAGTTTATCACTATGCCCGTGTGTGCAATGGAATTTTCTTCCAAAAATACAGAGGGCATTCACCAGCCTTTACTTTTCCTGCCAGAAAAATAACGAAGTTTGCCTGTCAAGATTTTGTATCTCTCTAATTTAGTTTTCCATCAAAACAATCATAAAGACTTAGAAATGTTCAAAGTGTTGCATAATCAGAGCTTCTTCTCAACAGAATTGTGGAAAGCCAATAGCTCTGAAGTAACTACTCCACTGTGAGTTTCTCTTGGTTACCACTTTATCAATTCTGAAATACAGATATGAAGTGGCACACATTACATTCAACATAAAAAACAGAGTTTCTTCCAAGCAAGACTGTAGCTGTAAACTAAACATGAAGTTACATGTTTTCTATATGTTATTAACTTTCATCAGGTTCATATTCACTTGCAGTCCTTAGCTAGAGGAAATTATTGCAGTAGATTATATACACATAGATGTGCTGCATATATATGCATCTCTCACAATAAGTGTTAAAAAAAAAATAACAGGAGTGGTGACTCACTTTTAATAATTATTATTATTCCATTTGCAGTCTTTACTACTGTAAAAATTAATAACTAATCACATTTTCTTTTATACATAACATACTTGGCATCTCAATTATTATCAGTGATATAAAATTATTCAGTCTTATCTGTGAAACTAGAGGAAGATATCAGTAGCAATGGAAATGCAGAATACATAGCCTGGAAAATAAGTAAGCATATATTTGGCATAGTTAAGATTACGTATCTTTCATTATGACTTAAATTATTGCAGCAGGGTGTTCTGTTTGTAATTGAGGGGAAACCACTAGCTTATGCTGAAGTGACCTTTGTAAACACCACGACTTTCTACAGATTTTTGTCAATTTTGAGCACTAACTGGTAAACTAATGTATCTTAACTGAAATAAACCTGCACTTTATTTCAATTATCTTGCAACAAAAGGCGCAGAATTACCTTATTCAAAGCTGCAAATTAAATGGATTCAGACCTAAGACCATTAGCTGTGTATAGAACGCATTTTGGCAATTTTTACACGTGCAACTACTGCCAACATTTTACTGAAGCTGGCCTTCTATGAACATGTTTTCAAAATTTTACTGCAGGTAAGGAAACCTAAACATACCTTACTGTGAGGATCAGCAAACATTCTTGTGAAGATTTCACACAGCCTTTTCAACTCAACACGACTGTCAAAGTGACAAAACACATTGGTCAACTCCAGTGCCAGTACTACTGGTACTGCAATGCACAGCAATCAGTGAAATCAACCCTCAGTGCTAAATCAAATAATCTAGTAAACCAATTTGAAAAATGCACTTCCTGTAAGACATATATAATAATGTAATAATTTTGTCTAAAATACGACTCTCAAGCTAGAAATGAATCTTTAATTCACATCTTAAAACAGCAAAAGTCACTTTAAATTCCTATTCCTAACTATTGTAATAGAGCCAGCCATGAGACAGACATTCTCAGAGCTAGCCATGAGCAGTTTCTTCTGAATAAAACAGCTACGCTAGCATGTCATCAATACTAGATGCAACTACCTTGAGACTCCTCTGCATTATAAGCATGCTACTGATTTTAAATTCCATTTTTAAACAAAGCATTTTAAGGGACCCTTTGCACTAGTAGCCAGAATGGACAGTAGATTCTTCATTCCTTCCTTCCCCATTCTTATTCTCAGACACACACACTGCTTCCCCTCTCCTCAGCTTTCTGTGCTGCTCAGAACATTAGCCTCCTTTCTTACTTTCCCTGCCTTCTTTCAACTCTCAATTAAAAATATTCTTCTACTAAGATGTCTTCTTACCTTAAAGTTCTCTGGTTCTTTAACAAATTTTGCAGGCCCAGAAGGCCTTCTTTTCTCTCTGACCAGTTGGAGCTAGCACAGCGATTTAGGACTTCAGCCACATCTTCTGTCTGTCTCATATATGTTGGTATGCTTCCATTCCTAGAACTGTAGGACCTTTCTGAACAGGCACTTGATGCATCACTGTTGGCATCATCATCTGAGTACATCCCGTAAGACTCGTATCTTCTTCGCACGGGCTTCTTCTGTTGTTCAGAAACACCTCACGTTAACGGTGATTTACAAAGAAATATTATCCATTATCAGCAGAAACACCAGCATTTCCAAGAACTGATGCAAGCCCTTCTCCTTGCACTGACAAACGGCTCTAACCGTTCAGCAGTTCAAAGCAAGTTAATAAAAAGCTTTTTAAAATGTATGGCTCGCATAGGATTCCAAATATAAAAGCAAAGCAAATGGAAAGAAGACATACGTTTGATGAATCGTTCAGCTTAAAGTTTACTTGTAAAAATTCATAAAATTGCGTGATAGGATGACAGATTGCACTGAAAGTTAGTTATTTCACTTAACTTTATACTTGTTAAAGAATATAAGATTCAGGTCTAAAACCATATTCTCTCGTTTTAACTTACTTTGCATCAAACATGTTAATATCAAAATATTAAACTACTGAAGAAGGAAAATAATTTCTATACCTTAGTCCGTATGTCTCCTAAGAGCTGATAGCAGTAAATTATTGAAAAGAAACAGAAATTGAGAACAGCAAGGTAAGGCATAGCAGCACTGTGACTACTAAACTACCTGTCACTGGAAAACACAATCTTTTGCAAATTTGACTCAGTTCTCTCAACCTGATTAGTGTACCATGCATTAGCAATAAGAAGCTTGCCAAACTTCCACTTCCAAGGACACATTACGTGATGTCACCTTCTGGTTGTTCACAGTTACTTGGTCAAAATCTTTCTCTCTTAACGCTACTAAAGTATGGAAGCTTCATTTAAACTTCATTTTTCCACGTGCTTCTCAATCTTGTTCTGATTAGCAGCATTTTAGAAATGAATCTTTAATTCACATTTTAAAACAGCATTCAAATGTTCTAAATGCAACAATCAGTAGAGAAGTAAATTTGGAAAATGTCCTACTGCAAAATCCCAAATACATTAAAAAACAAAAGCAAGCCAACAAAACAAAACATAACAAAGGCCAGAGGAAAAATGCAGTTTATCCTAAAAGGACAAACACAAGCTGCTGCAAAATAACTCTGCCATTCAAACTCTGGAGCTGAACCGAGTAGTTAAAAATCCAGTTTCATTACACCTTCAAATAAGCAGAAGCAACTGTTTTCCCTTTAGTTACCATCACAGTTTACACACGGTTTTCATTTTTCTTTGCTGAATAGCTTTAATGGTATTTAAATACAAACTAGTCAATACATCATGGAATAAGCAGGCTTACTGTCAACAACACATGCACGCGTATGCACATAAGAGAGTAAAGGAAGAGATAAAATAGCATAACAGCAAAGCAATCCATAATATTTGATTTTTATATGTCTCTCAGGATGTTACTGTTCTACCTTTTAAAAACACAATTCTGACAGGGGACTTTAGTCTATGATAGAAAAAAAAATGTTCATGACCAGATTGATCTGAATGGAGCCAACTGCATGGGAGGCGAGCAGTCTTGCTAATGCTGTAGTACTCTAATTCAGCTCTTCTCAATCCTTCCTGGTGTGTAGAATCTAGCTAAAATATACAAATTAATCTTCCTCTAGCACTTATAGAAACATCATGCTATTCTGCATTCAGGTAATACAAACGAGTTTCTATGAACAAACTTAATTGCTTCAACTAAGCAGAGAACATTCAGGTCTCAAAAACAGTCATCAAAAGGAGAAGCAAGAGTTTCTCCTCAATTTATGACACATATTCCAACTACATTTGTAACCAAGCTGAATTTGAATAAGCTATGAAACTGCTCAAAGTAAAAGACATTACGTTGCAGCCACGTGGGTTTTCTCATGATAGACAGAAACTTCTAATGTCCCATGTGCTATTTCTCTCTATTCAACATTATAAAAATCCATGATGCAGACTGAGTTTGAGTTTGCTAACAAGCACTCCAGATTTCTGCCCAAAACTTTCTGCAAGTTTACAGTACCAAAACTGGTAAACACTAATGATCAATGCCACCATGACTTGTTAGGCAAGATGTCACAGGTAATGCTATCTCAGTGTCTGTGAAAGCAAACAACATTTAAATAAATTTATCATGAAAACAGTATTAACCAAGAAGTCAATAAGCTGGCAAGACTATACAAACGTGATTGACTTCTTCAGACTCTTTTTCCTTTAAAATTTTGTTTCCCTCTCTGAAACTAAATGATATTTAAGGCGCTTTTCAATGCAAATTTATCTATGATTCTAGATATATTTTTTTGTTGTTAGAAAAATAACAAGAAACTCCTTAAAGAATTTTATTAGTTATGTAATAGATATTATATATAAATAATGTTACACAAATTTTCTACAATACATGATAAAAATCTCACAATACCAGTATTTTAAATTACTTGAAGATTTCAGCTTGCTGAGACTGATGGCAGAACAATGAAACACATGACATATGCTTTCAGTTTGGCTAACTGGGGCCCAATGGAGAAGCAGCCAAAAGACCCTTTCAAAGTACAGTTCGGTTCAGACCATGAACAGCACGACTAGCTTAAAAATCAGTGTAACATTTTAAAAATAAAAACCAAACTTACTAAACACTGCCTGTCAAACCATCAGTTTATCTCTCCAGCATTAGCCTTGCACACTGTCAAAACAACTTCAAGTGTGCCTTAGTCCTTATCGTCCCCAGCTCTGAGAAACCTACCAACCTCAATCTGTCTAGAAGTTTGTGTAGCTGTTGTGGGATACTGCTTCTAAGTGCCTCCTGCTCAAGAGGCTCCTCCAGCTACTCCAACAGAACAGCTCAAGACTATATCCAGCCTGTCTTGGAAAATGAATATTTCTCAAAAGTGGAAAATGAATATTTCTCAAAAGTTAAGAACAAAAATTCCCATGCTTTGCAGCTAAAGTAACTCAGCTTCTCTTTTTTCCACACTTACAAGTCAGTAAGACATGGAAGGACAAGTTCTTTTGCACACTTCAATGTACAGACACTAAACATTTTAGCAGTTTACATCCTACACAACACAGGCATGAGAGTCTTACCAAAGCATCTGCTACTGCCTCTTCCACGTCAGAACCCGTGTTCAGAACTCGCATAGCACTAACTGATGAGGACAGTCTACTTGACTGACTAATTCCAAAGCTGGTACCTGTTAAATCATCAACAAAAAAATGAAGAAAAAAAACAAAACAGACTTCAGTTGGAACAGTAACACAGAGCATTAATAATATACTCACTTAAAAAAAAAAGAAAAACCCAAGCAGAAGAAAAGCATTTGTCTAATGGTTCTAATAAATCACATAGGGGCTAAAGTATGGATGTTTTCATCCCAATATCTTTAGTGGTGTGGTGAAAGGTGCAACTGAAGTAACAACAGTAACATGAAGATTCTATTCCAGTATCACAGAGGAAAAAAAAACAACAACAAATGAACTACTTTAACTAAAAACTCAGTAGTGCCCTTTTTGGTTTTGTTTCTTTTGTTTTGTTTTGTTTTTATTTTTGTTTTTTTTTTTTTTTAATGTCTTCATTTTGGGTTTTTGTTTTCATTTCAAAGGAAAGCAAAAAAAAGGGAAGGCCATAGAGACTACTGATGAAAAAACTACATGCATAAAGAATGCGCTACAAATACTGAATAAGTGGGAAACTAAAAAAATCCTCTGCAAGGAAAAATAAAATGACTGTTGTTAGGGAAGGAAAGGATTATCACTGGGGCATGAGGATGGAGACAAAATCTAGTAACACAAACATATCTATCTGGATTATTAAAACCACAGAACAGAAATTAATATAAATAACGCTTTTTACAACTGAACTATGAGGATAACCAAGTGGGTGGGTGAGAAAAAAAAATCCAGGATGACTGCACAGATGACAGCAAAGTGTACTCATCCTTCACCTGTAGCCCCATAAGCATCAGGAGCGTAGAGGGCACCAGTGGATCTGGAGTGATGTCTGGAAGCTGCAATAACAGGATCATACAAACCCTATCTATTACCATGGAATCAAAGTGCTGCAATAGTTGCTTAGATGAACAAAAGCACATTCATCAAAAAGATACAGCTTTAGCAAAGAAAATGAATACTACACAGAAGGACAAAGATTCAGACAAGTTCTCTGATTATGTAGAATAGAGAGGTTTATGTACACTGTATATTTCATGCATGATTTTTTAATTTAAAGGATTAAGAGCAGATTAAAAGCAAATATGTTCAAGTTCAAAGAAAAAAGGAAGCAGAGGTACACACACACACACACACACACAATACTAATTCACTAATACTGCTTTTCCATGGCGGTAGCTGCGATTCTACAAGTTCAAGAAGCAGAGCTCACACACCAAACAGTTTGGAAGAAAGTAACTACTGCACAAACTGTGTTAGCAGCTGACAACTGGCATTAGCTTGAGTTCTTGCCCATGTGCAGTTAAGCTAGCCTTTACTTAAAATCACCACTTCACAGGTGGAAGTTAAAGTCATTCAAATGTAATTAAAAAAATTAAAGACGTTAGTGTCATTAACATTTCATGCTTTTATTGCTTTCTTAACAGTGTACACTGGTTACTATGGCTGCTGAAAATCCTTTGAAGTTATGGAAAGCTGGAACCAAAGATCCTTAAGGACTTCTGAATAAAAAGGAGCACCCTCTTTTTTTCTGACGCTTCTATAAAAAAGTGGTCTATCAGAGATTCTAGAACAGTTGGCCTACACAATACTGCTAGTATTTTCTTTCTTACATCAAGCAACATTGATGTTTTTAACTAGTCAGTTTCCTTCTGCTTCTGCTTTCCTTCTGTTCTCTTAATGCAGAATTTTACAATCACGTAACTGAAACTGGCTTTCAAGTCTAACCAAAGTGACCTGCATCCCAGACACAATACCACAATTTAATGAAGAACTGAAAATGCAAATATTTTACACCTGCTAGATACATAAAGCAGTAAAAATAGAAACCAGGAATTAAATGAATGAATCGCTGTTTATTCTGGTTATCATACACAATCTAAGAGCCTGGTCTGAACTGAGCAATTCCAACACAGATCAAATCACAGCTGAGGAAGAACATATCATTTAACCTCAAAATGATCCTGAGCACTGCAAAGACCCCAGAAAAACCACTGTTTTTTCCCCTTTCTCTGCTTTTTACAGAGGTACAGCAAAGTATTTTATACCAAGTGAAATCTGCATAAAAATGGTTAGTTAGGTAGCTGTATTAAGAAAATAATACTTTATGGAATACCTGGCTCTTCAGAACACACATCTCAGTATGGAAAAGGAGACAGAACATGTCAAAACATGTGCATCAAGAGTGATATAACCGGAAGTACATGCAACAGTGGAGTAAACCTTTTCATTATTTTCCACCAACAAGCCCTGAAAACTAAAGGTAAACTTCAGCCATATAATTCAGGATGATCCTGTCTCCATATACGTTTGAATTATGCTGGAAATTTCCTAGGACAGTGAAAGGAGGCACCATTTTAGATCAAATGCATCTCATTTCAAAAAGTATTTTCAAGAATATTTTTTGTACCCTTTGAACAGCAGATGTAACGTATTTATTATCAATAATTAAAATGAAGAAAGATAAGATTAATCAAAATAAGAACAATTTTGAAAGGACTCAAAATAGCAATGTGTTTCTTGACTACAGTATGAAAATTACACTGGCTTGCTGTTTAATATCAGCTGCATGTAAGAGAAAAATTGGCCCTTCCATACCAGCTACCAATCTCCTGCTACTCAGTGGCTGTTCTCTCTCCCTTTGTGGTCTCACATTAAGATGAGGCTACAGAAGCACTTCACACAGAGAAGCAACTATAAAACAAGCGTGCCAGTTTACCTGAATGGTTTAGCACTTCCATTAAGCAAAACTTCCTCTGCTAAACACCAGATAACACAAACATTTCCTCCCTTCCCCAAGACCATGTGTAACTATTTCTAGTTACAGATACAGAGACTGATCTGTCTTCTAATTCTATCCTTGAAAAACATTATTATTTTTTTAATAGAAATCAACAACATCACAGAATCACAGAATCACATCTCATAAGACAAAGCTGTTCTAACAAAATACTGAATGACATTTAAAATTCGTAAGTAGAAGGATTTCAGGTTTCGTTCAGATATATTTGCTTGTTTGTTTTTAATTCTAACTGCCATACTTGCTACTTTGCATTCCCTGTGCTATCAGTCATTCAACCTATTGTATTTGTACAGGTATTTGTTCTGAAATCTAATACAAAAATTAAACTCCATCTATAGAAATAAAATCTAAAGTAGCATCTGGTCCAATGATCCACTAAATAACATTATTATTGTATTAGTTTAACAAAGATAGATATATATATATTCAATTAACAGCACTGATTAAAAAAATCAAATGTAAATCAGATCTTACAGGCATGCAATTAAATTCAAGGCACAGGGCAGCAAAAGCAGCACAAAAAGAACTGGAAAAATCTCATTTTTAGGAGAAAAGATGTGTGTATGCTACAATACAGTCCACCTATGTGTTTCAGTAAGAGAGACAGGTTTATTACTGGATTCTGCATCATGTCTACTTTTAATTGAGTTTCCCAATTAAACAGCATCTGTGTAGATTAGTATTAGTTACTGAAACAGCTTTCATTCAATTAATCCACACTTCCTCAATAAAAACCATGGCTGACAGGAAGCACACTGCCTTAATAGACTGTAACAGACTTCCAGTGCTAATTAGCAGTACAGTCAGGTGCTTCATCTGAGAGAGAAACCAGAGATTTTCTATATTCAGGATAGGCTTCATGGCTAAAATCACATCGCCTTAAACTGCAAACTACAAAATTCACTGGTCAGTCAGTCAGTCTTACAGAGTTTTGTACTGCTGAAATAATAAAAATCCAGCACGTAAGTTACTTTCATCAGCATTTGGAACCAAGTTTGTAGCAACCTTGATAAGGATACAAGAAGTCTCCCTAATCCATAGCATGTTAAAGTAATTACAAGCAAACTTCCCTATTCCTTATTCAACTCTCAGAAACACAAACCAGCTTGACATTTATACAAAATCATCTAAGTGTTAGGACAACAAACCAAAATACTCAGTGAAAACAAAACTTACAGCAACTCTAGGAATGAGGACTGAAAGTGGTTACGCTATGTGTGTGAATGTTAAAGTTTTCAACTTCTTTCCTACGTAAAAACACAGTTCAACTACTTCTCTGCTCCATAATCACTTTTTCTACTCTGATTAAAAATAAACTACAAAACTGTACTTTGGTTCATGTACTAGGATAAGGACTCTGCTACCTGTCCTGTTCATCCGTAGCAAATTGAAGGCAGCCTACAACACAGTTACTCCTCTGTAGCGGTTCCTTATCTGTACCACTGCATTACTCCCTTTAATGGCACAGGGCACTCTGATGACAGGATAGCTAAGAACAAAATTGGCTTCATTTCACATCTTAACAGATTCTAGCTGATGTAGGGAAAGGTGGAGAACGACAGACAAGCTATATTTTACTTGTTCAAATGGATTAACTGTTTCTAAGCAATGAATACTCTAACAAAGATCAACAAGTAATTTAAAAACCCTCCAAAAGCAGAATCACCCTTCAAACAACAACAAACAACTAGGTGCAATGAATCACACTAAAGCTCCTAAATGTTAAGGTAAGGCTAACACTAGCAGAGTGTTTTTGATGTGTGCAACCCATTCACACGTTGGTCAATTTTCCATCCAAGTAAATGGTGAGTGAGCCAAGGAAGGGAAAATAACGGTGGCCTGCTACAAGCTACATGGAGGAGGCATGGATTCGTTAGGTGCAAATAATGAAGGGCAAAGACAGCCATGCACAACAAGGGCTCTGAGTACTTACCAAGGGGTGGAAAAGAGCGGACAGGGCTCGTGTCCCTGCTACTTTCACGGCTGGCCTCCCGACTGCACCCCTGACTCACACTAGGCCGAGGAATGCGGCTGCCTCGTGCTAGTATGATTCAGGGTACAGACAAACAGCAGCACAGAAGGGAGAAGACATAAGAAAAGTTGCAGTTTTAATGATATTCTGCTTTGCAGTAAGATCAAAGATGTATTTCTATGAAAAGACACTGATGATTATGTTGTATTTTAAGTTTTAACTGATTCCACACACTTTCTTGACTGTGCTAGAATACACTAACTGTAGTCAGTTCAGTGGAACTACCTTTTTGGACAGCTAACAAAGTTGATTTACCAACTCTTCACAGAATGGTTGAAAAAACTCTTGAAAAAGATGCAGGCTGAACAAGCAATAAAAAAAATATTCATTCAAAATTTGTGACCACGCTCTAGGTAATCTACTCAACAGTAACAGAAATGAAAAATTAAGCTTTCACAAGAAGGAAAACAGAAAGACCATACTGCTAGGACATAAATCAAAAACACAAAATAAAGAAGATGAAGAACTGCAGCAATACCTATTGAAAAACACTGTTTGATTTCAGTACAATCAAGTGTAATCAGCTTATACTGTGAGGCACAGGAAGCATGACATTCATTTTTGTATCGCAGAAATATATATACACACACACATATCCAGAGGACACAGAAGTAATAAAGAAAACCTTCTTACAATGGTAGCACTTTTATTTAATGGATGTGGTAGTTTGGAGGGTGAGAATAAGACAAGAGTGAAAGAGGGAAGGAAGAAATGGAGAAGAAAAGAACAACTACTGCATTTTCAGAGCAAAAAAGCTATCCACTTCGAGTTAGAAAATCTGCCTAGTTTATCAATTCCTAGTGTCAGCATCCAGGTACATTTCAGATTTTTATTTATATGCATTCTAATTTTTACCATCCACCTGTAATGTAAATGCAAGGAATAGTTAGCCAGCACATAACGTAAAATCGTCTGTAAAGAAATCAACAATTCTCTATCAATTCTTACCTACTGACAATCTAGAAGGACTAGCTTCTCTACTGCATCCCTGACTTCTTGGGATTTTGCTTCGTTTCTGTGCAGCTGCAGGGTTCACTAACACTCTCTGAACCCCTGTGTTCATAGTGGAAAGTGTAGTTGTTGTCAAAACTCTTCCAGGAGATCCAGATCTACTGCCAGCTGAAGGCAAAACGAAGGAATGTAAGTAACAGCACATAAAGATGAACAACCAAGGTTTTAAAAAATGCTTAAAAACAGCAGGAAACTGGTGGTAGATTGAAATGGTCTGGAAAAACATACATGGTAAAAATGTGAAATTCAAAGCACTGGTACAAGTTCTTAAGGAACCACACAGCAGGCAGATACAGTTATCAGTACAAGGAAGCACTTGGTGTGGCACTGAGCACTAGGTATGCTCAAGAAACCACAAACTGCATTTCCCATTTTCATCATCAGTTTGGACATCCCTGACACAAACACTGGCCTGTTCTTTCAAATTTCACTGTGTCATTAATCATGTTTTCTATAGTTATGTTAAAACAATTTTTAAAAGAACAGCTAGGAAGCTGAAGTGAGCAACTATAAACCAGTGATTCTATCATTATCCCAGCTCTTCCAATGCCACCAATGTTATTATAGAACAAAATCATCATTTTCCTAACATATGAACTCTTCTTACATGCTCCTTAAAGCACAGGTTCTTCAAACTTAGAGGAGTTAAATAAAATGCCACTGAAAACAATTCAAATATTCACATTCTTTGCTGAGGAGATTAGTCCACAAATTTAAAAGCTTTAAACAAGGTTAAAAAGAACTGATCAGGACATTCTATTTAAACACCCTGTATCTTTTATTAACAGCTTACATTACTATTGTACATTCTGAAGTACACTGGAACTGTTCATTTCAGCACAGCATACCCAATACAAGAAACTTGTCAATGCTCCCCGATGTGGATCCATCCTTTGACATCGCTCTTAGAGCACATGTCAGTTCTATGCCCTAACAAACAATCCACTCTTGTTTTACAACTTTATATATCAACTGGTGGTAAATTTATTTGTATTTCCAGCTGCGGAATTGAACAATTCTGACCAAAGACATGGCAAAACACAATTTAAACCAAAGGTTAATTATGTGCAGATAAGAATATTCCATTAATCTTTTAAAAATAACCACGTAACCATATGACTTCACCTATGCTATCAAATCTATGACCTTAACATGCAACAGCTTAACTAAGTTTCATGGGATGCTTCTTATGAGGTATACTTTATAAAAAAAATGAATTTAATAAAGCTTGACTGTATGGGAAAAGAAACAAAAAACAAAACAAAATGTAGGCTAGGTGAAGGGAGAAAACAAAAAATATATACCATGCATATACCTTCAGGTTCATTGTTTGAATTCAAACTTGAAATGGTTATTTAGCAAAATGCCCTTTTCCAAACTATGGACCTATTCAGCAGAAATGATAAATAGATTTTAAATAGCCTAGAAAAAAATAAGCATAGCTTCTATAATCGGGGGGAGTGTAGGGAAGGAAAAAGAATAGGCAAGTTGATAAAACTGCTGTGGTCTGCAGAAGTTAAGGGTTTGTCAGTTTCTTCATGTTGGGGTAATTCAACTTATGCCTGATGCTACTATTCTGCACTCCCACTTTCCAGTATCTCCAACCCAGATGCTGGAAAAACCTTTCACTGTCCCCGAGATTTTTAGACTATTTTCTACAATACATCAGAAACTGGAGAACTTCACTTCTCCTCAAAATACACAGGAGGAATATAACCTCTCATTATTCTAGCTTATTTTTAGTATCTTTTGGTCTGACCTGCAGAGCATAGCACTATAGCCTAAATAAACCAAACCCAGTGTAATATCCTGAAAACGTTATTTTAAGAGCAACACCATTGTCATGCTGCTCTTAACACCACCATCAGCATCAGATCTAAACACCGAAAGCTAGACGATTAATTAAAAAGGGGCAATTACTAAAACAGTATTCTAAACTGACAAAACCCTCCCAGTTCTGCTGCCTTCTGAGGAACAGTTGCATCATGGCAGTCAAGTGCAGCATGTGCAAAAAAGCAAGCCAGAATTTCTGCTGAATAGGGGCCTTAAAATGAGGTGTGTAAAACAGGTGATCAAACAATGATGTATACACAAATTCTGTAGACTCTTACCACCAATGGGGTTAGCAGACTGTGATCCTGAACAAGTGTAAAGGCAGGATTGGGGTGGGGGTTTATAGTCCATGAAGAGGGAGGGAGCAGAGCAGATTTAAAAATGGATGGCAAACGGAAATAAGAAAGCTTTAGTCATTTCACACAGGAAAAAAAGCCACAAGGGGGTTATGCTAAAGCAGTGCTTTTAAGTAGCTTCCACGATTGAAGAACTAAGTTCAAATGCCATGTACAAAGCAGATGAAGCAAAGCTGCACAAGCAAATTACAATTCTTCAGCTTTCTAATCAACAACTGGGTAACACTGAAGAATTAATTTCAATTAAACATGAAACTGTAGCTTTCAAATTACTTTAAAAAAAAAACTAGGTTGCCAAAACAACTTCAAAATTTCAACAGCTGAACAAAAATTACACACAAGGCCAAAACATATTTTTGTTCAAGACAGACAGTAAAGAAACTGAGCTGCAAGTGCGGTGGATGACCAAAAAAAAAGCAAACAACTTTCACAATGGCACATTAGAAAAGACTTGCATGTAATTTAGGGTTTTCCTCTTTCTCAATTCATATGAAGCGTAACAGTAAGAATTTGTTTCCATTCAAAAATTTTATTCTTTCTCTGAATGAAGACTAATTTAATTTTAGCATATTAACTGACAACCAAATAGAAAGGGACAGGAAAAAACTGAACAATTTTTTCCATGGATAAAGTAATGGGATGCAGGTTGTAGAGTTATTTACTTTAGGCAACAACTTAATAATTGAGGTAAGTGGAGGAGTAAAGCCCTTCTAAAACCCTAAAAAGCATCATTTGTAAAAGCATTCAGATCTGCAAGTCTTTCACGCAATGAGCTTCGAACAAAAATACTGAATAGCTTTAAACCTAAATTTACAAAAGCATCTGTGTTACAGTCTTTTTTTGTTGTTGTTTAAGAAATATTAAGCTTAAATCTAATATAAATTATTTCCCTGCCACAGGTGAGGAAAGTAAACCAGCCCCAGGTAGGGAACATCAAGAATCTCGCTCCATGCAATGCTGTGAAAATTTTTATTTATATAAAGAAGCATCACCTAAACAGCAGGTATACACTGCCTGACAGCTCTCCTTCACCTTATATCTGCCCTGTTTACCTTCTTTAAAGCGTATCAGAATTCTTCTCCCCAACTTACAGGTTATAATGAGCTAACTGAAAGCATCAGTTCTGAACAGATGGAGTGATAAAAGGCACTGAAGATGCATTCTTATATTTAATTTTTACACATTATCACAAGTAAACACATCTAGTTATTTCAATATCTATTCAGCTCATCTCTTTTTATATTGATACAGTAAAAAAAAAAAAGAATTCTCTTGCAAAGAAACTGTCATCATCTGCAAAAATCAAACTGTACATGCTTCAGTTTGTTTCCTTGGATTTGTAGTCACTTATGTGTGACGTGATGTTTATCATCAGGAAAGTCGTAGATCACTACTTAAATTTTGAATTCCCCTCCCTCCAGTTTATTTTTAAGAATTTATTGCATTTCTTCAAAGACAGATCAGCTCCTTCCACGTATCAGTGGAAAGATACAGATACTGCTCACTGCTCTTACTAAAGTAGTTTTTAGGTCATTTGCTGTCCCTACTTTGCCCTTAAAGTATTAAACCAAAAATTCCTTGCTTATGATAGAGTTCAGTTGACAATGGGAACATAGAACAAGTTTTGCACAACTTCCGTCACAGCCAATAACTAAGCTTAGCTTTCAACCACAAGTAATCATGGGACCAGATAATTATCCATGAAAAGTTTACTTAAGAGCATTTCTGTTATTTATTTCATTATTTTTTATTTATTTGCACAGTGTTGGTTTTTGGGTTTTTTTTAGAATTTTAATCCACAAAACCTGAAATTATTGGATCAAATTTGATCCAACTATGTCTGATGGAAAATGAATTCTACAGAGTAGAATGGAACTGGAAGTGCTCAATTAGCAAAATAAACAAAAATTTTTCTACTTTTTTAACCTCTAAAATTCTAGTTAGGAGAAATGCAGTCATCACTACGAAGAAAATAAACATTTCTGCCATAAACCATAGAATTAAAGAATTTTACTGAAAGTAGATGAGGTTGGTCAGAAGAATAATTATTACAATGGCCCATTGAAAATCTATGCTACTTACTAGCTCTGTAACATGAAATCTGTCAAACTATAGCCTTGGTTAATTTATTTACATTAATTTTATCATTCATGTCTGTTCCTTTCATTAATTTAATTAAATTCAAGTTAATTAGAAGATGTTTAATGCATTTCACTAGATGAGACAAAGCTGAAAACCTGGAAACAATATAGGTATGTTTTCAGAAGAAGTTGGCTGTAGGCATCAGGTAACAAACAAACTGCCATAGGTCTGCCGGTGTCAAAGAAGGCAAGATAGAGTCAGGTCTCCAATTAATGACAGGCAGCTCAACTAGATGGGAAATTCTCCATTTGCTTCTGTTTATGAGCACACAAGAAAATTACTGGGGATCAGCTAGCGTACAGCAAATTTATTCTTTACAACTTCAGGTTTCAGCACAAGCTACAGAACAGACTATCTGCTTAGTGTGTAGCGTTTTTTGTTCCAAAGAGATAAGAAAAGGGAAGGTAATGTCTGTAACACAAAAAAGGAGTAAATATTCAAGGACCAACATAGTGGCCTAGCTTAAAATGAAATCTGCTGTTTCTGGCTGAAGATATGAGACTTTTTGAAAAATGAAAGACTAATTTTTAAGGTTAACACTGAAGACACCATTCAGCCTACACATTTTTCTGAGTTATTTCTCCATGTGTTACATATAATAGACACAGATATTTTACTGGTGTTGTGTGTTAAGGATTTGGGGAGGAGGGGGAGAGAAGAATGTTGAGGGGTTATAATTGAAGAAAGAATTTAAGGGTAGGGTTTGCTTCTTTTTACATGATCTAATTGAACTGACAAACCAAGACCTAGCCTACTATTTTGCCCAGAGAAAAACAACATGAATTAGAAAAGCATGCAAATACCACTGACCCAAAACACTGAAAAAATACCTTCATTTTTCTCTGGCGATGATGAACCTAAGGCACAGAACAACAACTCAGTATGTAGCTTGGTTTTTTTTAAATTAACTTTGACTGTAGCCATTTGTCAATGAACGTTTGCTAAAGCATTTGGCCTTTTATCAGGTTTATCTGAGAAACAGCAAATACATACGCTGAGACTGAGAGACCACTTTGGTTCTACTCCGTCCTCTGGAATCTGTTTTAGAATTTCCAATACCAACAGAAGGTGTTGAAAGCTTTGTTCGTATACGACCTATAACAGAAAAGTTGCATTAAGTTAGTTTTTCACAGCAAAGTAGAAAGTAAAGCATTAGTGGCATTTACTAATATGTTCTTAAATTTCTGTACATAAAAACAAAGCACAATGTAAAAGGTGAAAATTCACTTGGGATAATTAGTAGAAATTTGAACATATTTTAAGGACTTAATAATTGAGGGTTCAGAAGACTTCTCTGATGCTACATGCCTCAGTAAATTATTTGCATGTTACATTTAAACGCCCTGAACTAGTTAGTTCTTGCTTACTACATGAATATGTTGATCACATTACAAAAAGGGAAATTTATTCAATATATAACAGGCAATGCAGCTGCTAATATTGCAGATTTGGTCTGTTCATTAGTACCTGTGTTTATAACTCTAGTTTCACAGTCACAAAACTACAAAACTAGCCGTGTTCAACTTCTGAATAGGGTTCTGAGATTTCTTCCTAAATTCTGTGTTCTTTTAAGAAACCTGAAAACTATCTTCCCTATTACTGTACTGTTTTCCTGACTATGGCAAAATAGACTTCTATACGATTTACAGCAATTAGTATTAATAATATTAAGTAAATTTAAGTCTCAGTGTCAGCATGATATAAAAAAATACTATTCCTCTCAGCAGACAGAAGAACTGACAATTCCAAAACAACAGAAATCACTTCTTTCTAGAATGCGAGAGGTTGAAGTTTTTTGCACTATTAGCCATGTCCCTCATAAATGTTCAAAGAACAATGAAATTACCAAGGAACACAGAGGGAAAAAAAAAACAACACCCAAAACCCTCCCATAAAACTGTGCTAACCATGCTTCTCAGAAGTTTCACAAACAAAACCTAGAAGGTTTGAGCATCGTGGACCTAGCTCAACGAGTAATTCATTTTTTGAAATAGAATAAATTAAATGCTTTCTAGACATGTGCAGTCAATATTAGACCCAGAATAACTAGGCACACAGACTATTCTTTAGTTCTAGTCTCTTTAAGCTTTCCACACCAGAATTTGGAGACCAACCAAGTTAATATTATTCTTCCAAGTAGAGGGAATAGCTATAGATGAGAGTCTATAAGAAGAGAACCAGAATAAAGGAGGTTATTCACTAAACTACCAGAAGAAATATGTTAGCAAGATTGGTTAGATTAAGTACTCCAAACTCTACTAGTTATCCCCATGCAATGGCAGTATTTTCCCAATGAGTGCTGTGAGACTGCAAGGCATGTAGACTGTGTTCAGAATTTGGCCCCAAAACATAGGAATACAGAGTGCCACTATTTCACTGCTGTGTTAAATAATCAATTGGAACCTGGTTCAATTTCATCAAAGTGAAAAATAAAAACAGAACGGCAACAAGCAGTTTGTATTCGTGAGGCAAATAAACTGTTATCTGTCATTAATGACACATTTAAACAAACAGCACACTGAAAATTGATTCACAAGTCTCAAAAAGATGAACAATAGCAGCACCTGTTTCCCAGAGCATGAGCATATTTGATGAATTATCTATGACTTGCTTTAAAAATAAAATAAACACAAAACTATAAAGCTCTTATATTTTCACACTGAAAATGTTAAGCAATGATACTTGTATTGCAGATGAGTACTAGAGAATTAATTTAAAAAATACTACACGACAACCAAGTATTAGATGCATAAGCTATCTGGAGTTACGTATCTCCACAACACCCCAAGAAGACCACATTGTACTTTCAAAGCTTAATTTGTATCAATGAAAATATAAAGCTGAAAATATTAGCTTTTCTAACAAAATATTTTCTTACCATCTTCAGAAGCTGTTCCTAAACAGAAAAAATAACAAAACACATGATATTCCAAACAACAGTGTGCGTCTTTAATTCCTTTTCTGAGATAATCTTAGGAATCTTGACAAATTCTACCAGATCAGGAAGAGGTCTAAAACCTGGATTACAATTCCATTATTGAACTGAAGCGGAATTATCAAAAACCTCCCGTGCTAAACTTTCAGTGATTTACAGGAATGCAACACACAGCACTGCCTTCCAAACTTGTCACAAAAACACAAGAAAAGAAAAAATAAGTAAGGCAACTAAATGAGATCCTGACCAAAACAGACTTTATAAATATTCTAGTGCAAACGTTTCTGATGTAAAACATACTACTATACGTTATCTCAGACAAGAACACATCACAAGAAATGTGTTTCACACACTGGCCAGTTATAACTCTTCAGAAACTCCACCAAGGAGAGTTTCTTTTTGATGCATGATCACTTTCAAAATGTACATGAGATTAAGTTTTGTTCAGAGAAGTGAGCAGATAGAACAGGAGCCTGCTGAAACAAGATCACACTTGAACAATTATGTCAACTTTAACAAGGCTACACTATGACAAAACGAGTGGGACAAATGTGACGTCGGTGCATACGAATCAATGAGAAGCTATCTCTACAGTGCTCCATTTCTCCAAGCTCCTCTGAAACAGATCTGATGATAATAGAAAAATATACATACAGTAACACTGCTAAAATGTTAAATGGACTAAAAAAAATAAATACTCAAAGGGCAACTCCATTTTTCTTTTCATTCTATACTGTTCCAGCATATCTGACTGTGACTTCTTCATATTGTAATATCCTTAATATAAGTCACTACTGTTAAAACCTGCCTCTAGACTTTAACTCAGTGTACATTTCTTCACAAAAATCAGGTACAGAAATACACATGTAGGAGTGCCTCAGTTTTGCCAAATCAAATTTGCTAGTCTGTGTTAAGAAAAAACATACAAACAAAAAAAAGAACAGAAAACCCAACATTCAACCCAACAGAGCTTGATCTTGGAACATTTAAGCCAGGCTAACAGCTAGCTCTCATCCTAGGAGGAGTGGTGCTGCTTCTCTTTTATCCACCTTTGAACACCAACCAACCTGTCTGGACAGCTAAAGGTTCACTGTCAGTTTCAAGAGATTAAAAAAAAAAAGAATACTTTCATCTCTGTTCTATCTAATTACCTTTCTGGAATTTCTTCACCTACAGAAGTTCATAATGGAGTACTACAAAGCATGAGTGAAAGAAGTCATAGAAACAAGGCCATGATTAGCAGTAGGAAGAAAAAAAAACTTCTTGCAGGAAGCAGTTAGATCAGAGCAGCTGTATGATAAACTACAACTTGAGAGTTAAGATGTGTTCATTCTGTCTCACATCCATCTCTACAGATTATCCCACCAAAGAAAAAAAAATCATTGCTCTCATCAATTGTGGAGCACTTCCCCTTTCAAACAGATGTATGGGACACCTCCACAAGCTATGACACAAGTCCTTAAGAAAGCTTTTTCCTGGTGACAACGTGCAAAATGCACACAGCAAGTGCTCAGCACAGTCTAAATCCTATTATGTGCAATACAAGGAAACCCGATATGGAAATAAGTAAGATAGATACTAAAATACTGTACCAGAAAATCGTATTTTATTGACTTGCCACCTGCAACACCCCAAAATAGCTAAAATTCTTCCCAGAGGATCTCTCTTATGGCTACACGTGCAAGATACTGAGCTCTGCAGAGACCTACCTTCCCACTATTTTCTTTTCTGTGCATATTTTGAGTGTATTTCCCCCAGGAGACTCAGTATATGCTGTCTATGACAGGGAAAACATCACCTGCTCTGCTTTCAGTAAACTACTCATTCTTCTAAACGTGCTCTGTTAAAATGCATGTGACAGGACTTATGAATTAAGTAGCAAATGCAACTGACTTGTAAAGTGTTTCCCAACAAGAAATTACCATTACCAGGCATCGACACGGGAAGCATTACTTGCACACACCTGAAAAAGTCTAACAAGTACTATGAGAAACATGACTCTCAATTGCCCTTCAATTATGATAAAAACATAAGCCAACCCCGTCCATGTGTAGTGAACTAAGAAAACGTTAGTGCTAAAGCATAGCTGGACTACTTGGTAAGCTATTGGAAAAGGTAGGTCTCCTCAACAAACTATTCTTTAATAGAATTGCACAGGATTGTGCGACTTACAGGGATGTAAAGTTAAGCACTAGACCAGATTCTGATGGGAGCAATTTCTAAAGAGAAAATTCTAATTTCATTTTAGAAATTCTTAATTATCTGCTTATTCTGTTTTGCAAAGGCTATTTTGCCAAAAACTCCAAAACAACACAAACAAAAAAGCTGGCTTCAGAGATAGAACTAAGAAATACAACAAAACTAGACCTTGTCACAAAAAGAAATTTAACTACAGAATTGCTCTGTAATTTTTTTCTTATTTGGAGTAATAGCAAAATTCTGATAAAAGTTTCTGTTGCTGATGTATTCAAAACATTGACAAATACATATACACAACATATATATTAAGACTTTAAGATTACATAGGAGTTAATGAAAATAGTACATGTTAATCAATAGACAAACACAGTAAACATTAAATATTTTACATAAAAGACACTTTAACATAATTAATAGAATTAGAGGACAGACTAAACAATTTCTTACCATCCATCTTGTCAGAAGTATCCTCTTTGTTGAAAAAGCAGGCAAAGAAACATGGAAAACTTAGTGTGTTAGAATAAAGGTGTTCACAGCAGAGTCATAAAACATTAATTAAGGAAAATACATTAATATTAAATACTGCAGACACAGCTATCTAACTTGTGCACGTATAACCTAACTTAAGTAAAACTGGTTTCTGTCAGCTCAAGGAACAATATTACAGAGCAAGGCACAAGTAAGTACCCTGCATGGGGATGCTAAACCTATATTATCCAGATTTGATCAAGCCTTTGTAGTAAAATATTTATCTACTGTTTCATGCTTGGCTTTCAGCATCAATATACATATGTATCATTACTGAATTACAATATCTTATGAAATTTGCTCCTCAAGATAGGCTAAGGGACAGGAAGGGAAGAGACATCACAATAAAAACAGAGGCAAAATGGGACAAAGTTCCACTCAGGTTTAAAAGCATTAAAGATTCACAAGTTCAGCTGGAATTGCTTATTCTGACAGTAACAATCTGAATTAAAATATTTAATGTGCAACAGATATAATTACAGCTCAAGTCTCCTCAACAGGCCATTACCTATTAAGGATGCCAAAGCTAGTCAATGTTCAGAATAACTAAAGAAGGTCCTCCTGTATCTAGAAGACTCTTAAAGTAAGTAACGAATACAAATGATTTAAAACAACAAAAAGACACATAGATACACATAATAATTCTTATAGTAATTAGCTAAGAGACAGAGACAAATACTAATTACTATGCTTATGAACTTGTTCTCTTAGGTTCTACGTTTTGCAGCTATTTTATCAAAAGGTAGATGTTACTTTTTCAGTAAGGGTGAGAATGAATCAGGATCAAACTGAGAAGTATTCCTTTTGTGTGACTGTTAACAAACCTTGGCCTTCTTCACCATCACTACCTTTGTACAATCCATCTATAACAGCATTTCAGTTTTCTATCTATCACTACCTGCCACATTATCTTGCCATTTCAATTCAACACTGTACTCTTTTCCACAAGTCATCGTATCCACTAGCAAGGCAAAACTTTCCCATTACTCAGAACCCTCAAAAGAATTTGACATGGACTTACAGACCACGTATTCACCACTCCCCATCTACAAACTCCAATGAGAATATGCCATTTCTTTATCTCTGTTATTTCCCCACATAAAACCACCACTCTTTACTTCCCTAAAAACCTCTGTGCCCTTCTTAACTCCTGCTTCCAAATTCTGCACATGAATCACACGCATGGCTTAAGATGTTCTGAAAGCAAACCAGAATTCCAAACAAGAGCTAAATTTCTGTGAAATCTGTAATGAGGAAGTAAACCCCATGTTTCACAATGAATAAACACCAACAGATTTCTCTCTTTGCTTTCCACTTGACATTTTTCTCCTCCTCGTACTGCTATGTTCATTATCACTTTTATTTTCCTATGAGTCATCTCCACCTTCACCTAAGAACCACAGTTATGTCCTCTTGCCCACCAAAACAGACTAAAAAATACTCTGATCTTGAAGAATATTAACCCCGCTTATCTCAGGCTTTCAGACATTATGCAAGGAGTATCAATTCTCCAACTGAAAGTCTCCCCTCCAGCAAGCAAACTGAGCAGCCTAACCCTAGTCTACACCCAACACTTCCCTGATCCCCCGTGTGGGCAGTAGAGGGAGCCCACACCCCATGCTAAAGTCCTGCTCCAAGCAGTGTTCTTTCTCAGCACCACTGCAAACACACTGGGTCCACATCCAGTAGTGGTTCAAAACCACTTCAAGTAGGCACTGATGACAAAAGAAGCAGCTCACTTAAACCTAACTAAAAACACAATCAAAGCCTTGGATAACATAGCTTACATCCTTATATCCTAACATCTCCCAAGGCACAACACAAACTGAAAAGGTAAAGAAAAGGTTTTTTGGTTTTTGTTTTTTTAAATGCTTAAAAAGGCTAAATAAAAGGTACTTTTTTTTTTTTTTTTCTTTTTTTTTTTTTTAAATATGATTTCTCTGCCTCCCTTGTGACCATGACTGGCAATATCACTACTAGAATTTGCCTCCTTGGTAGTCTAGCAGGAACATAGGCTGAGAAGAAAAAACTAGCAGTGAACACTGAATCTCACCCCTACGTTAAGGATACATGCCTAGTCTTCCTTTATTCTCCTTATGTGATGGTGAAATTTAAACTTGGAAGTTCTACCATCACTATCAGTTTTTCTGTAAACTAATTTGCAGAGCTTTCTATGTCTAACAGCAAGCATTCCTGACAAGCAGGATTATCACTCAGGCGGAAAAAAACTACTTTCACAGAGTTTTATGAATGGACTTCGGAAGCTCTCTCCAAAATCGGCTGTATACATTTGTGCAACAGTTTGTATTATGTGAAGAAGCCACTACTTAATACAAAGATGTCTCATTAACTGATTATTTTACAGCAGTGCTAAAGAGCTGAGAAAAAAAACATGGAAATCAAGAGTCCTGGTACTGATTTCCTTTTTACTTTTGGATGCAAAAAAACCACGATCACCATCTGCTGTTCAGTGAAGGTATCGTGCCTTCCAATACACAGTGTAATACCAGATTAAGATGTTTAAAGAGCATAGTATGAATATATTCTTTACATCAGTATTCTTCTAGCAGAAGGAAAATAAAACACCTAGCAAAGTTGGTAACTTACGTGAGAAAATGTGCTCTTTTACAACACTCCAGCAAAAATGACAATGAGAGTTTTCCAAAAGTAGGCTCGTCTTCCCGTAACTCCTTGAAGAAAAGCCTCAGAAATAATTCCCCAGTAAGGATAAAGATAAAGATGTTTCCCTCACCTAGTGAAGCGTAAGATCCTGGAGGCAGACCAGCTGCTGACAAGCGCCCAGCTCCAGCTGTCTGTCCAGAAGCATGGCGAGCCTTTGCCCCTGCAGCAGCATTAACATCAATGTCACTGCGAGACCTTTGCAGAGTTCCTGGGCTTGGAACACTCTTGCTGCTGCCCGAAACTAGTAACAACAACAACAAATTGTTAGTAATGAATACAATTAATTGTATTTGCAAGGTTAATGTTTTCTACTGCTGCAGCAAACCTGCAAAAAACATGTATGTCACACAAATAAAGTTAATATAAATGCAATATTGTAAGGACATTAAATAACGTTGGACACGTTGGCATGAAACTCAGATAAAGAACAGTTCATGTTACAGTATAATTTATTGCCATTCAATATGAAATGTTACCATTTAATGCTATGTGCTCCCATTCTTCTACAATCTGCATAATTAGGAATGTTTACGGGGTTTATTACCCCACTGAATGCTTCAAAACATAATGAAATTCACAGCACCCTTTGTGATATGGAGAGAAGACAGCATTTCCATGATTCAGCTGAGGTGAAGCTTTGGGCAAGCTGACTGAGTACCTTCATTGGTTTTGGCCTCATCTTCTATAAAATATTTTTTAAATCCATTTCCTCTTACATGCTGAATGTTAACTACTAACTGAAGTTAATTTTCATTGACTCTTCCTTCACAGTTTCAATAGCAACCAAACAAGCACCCTTCATTAATCACAAGAGGCTTGTAAAAGGGAGTTCAGTGATTTCTTTGGAAAGACTTACAGAGGCATTACATGGAAGGAGAAAGAAGAGATTCAACTTTGAAAACTGGTGACAATATCAAACTGCTTGACTTCTGCTTTATTTGATTTCTCTCACATACACAGCAGCAGCTACTTTGGAACAGATGAAAGGTACAAGGCATCTTTCACTTGCAAACACCACAAGCCCAATTGTCAGACAGAGACAACAGAACAATGCACTGCTTCTTTGAGAATGACTGTCCCATGACAAAACTCCAAGATAAACAACCAAAGAACAATTCCAATACGTAACAAATCATCTTGCCTTTTGCTCACAACTGAAAATACGTAAAATCCAAGCTGAGTAAGTGGAAAACATAGCAGTAGCTGCAGTTTGCAGACATAACATTATTCAATTCCGAAATAGGCTAAATACTTAACAAAATTTTAAGTTCCATTTAAATCTTGTAATTCAAAGAACTTTAAAGAATAAATACTGTGCACAAGATAGCACTAGCTTACCTCTGCCTGCAAAGCTGGCTGGGCTGGCTGCAGACCATTTAGAAGATAGAGGACGGCTGAAAGACAAAATCCAATGAACCCATGAAGTAAGGGCTTCTATAAATAAAACATCCCATGTCTCAGATCCAAAAGGCAATTAATACACGGTGAAATGAGAGAACAAAAGGGTTATTTATATATTTTTTTTCCTCACCCCTTCAACTTTCTCTGAATATTTTTGGAGAAAAACATTTAATACAGACTGAAAACACAATCGTTCTTATTGGAGCATCTTTTATATTTTATGAAATTACATCTTCATCACAGAGCATTTCTCCTTTGACAATATAAACTTCAGGTCACAGAAATATTTAAGGCTGCCACTGCAAGGTCTTATTTAACCACAGAGCTGATCTTCAAAATCAGCTGTCATGCAAGAAGAGTGGGAGATAAAAATGACTGATATATAACAAATTATGGGTTGCCTGCAGTAACAAGGAAAAATGGATGAAAGGGGGGAAGCCTTTGTATTTTTAATACAAAAAAGGCAAGGCTGAGAGAAGGTGCATAATGCTGTGTATTTACCTGAGTTACTTGCTCAGGTGCTCAAGGATAATGCAGGTGTAAGAATTATTAGGTAATTTCTCACAGAGAATTATGTATCTGCAGCTAACTAACAACCACATACAGCGATTTCCTAATATTAATACCTGGCATTTTGGAAGCATTTTGTTGCAAGCCCGGGGTTAAATTCACCTTAAATTGAGCTCCAAAAAGTCCTAGACAACTGTTATAATTTCATCACTTACACAATCTACTGCAAATGCCATTTCATTTAAGCAGTTTCAAATAGAGCTTGTTTCTTGTTTTGTAGGGACAAGTCATCATATTTTTTTCATCCCATAATCTCCTTTCTCTTTTTTTTTTAATCAATGATCTAGGAGATCTGTAAGTACAGCGAGGTCAAAAATCATGGAGAATTAGACAAAGTAAAACCATGTCCCTATTTCCTAGGGTAGTAAACACAGGGAGAACTTATTATCTAGTTATCAATATTAGAAGCTAAAAACTCAGTTTTGTGTAACACAGGGAAAATAACATCTATCCAATAAAAAATTACTCAAGACTCAATTAAAAATACATTTCCTGCATAGTAACTACTTCTATTTATTGTTCTACCCCTTCCTTTCTGTGATACTTAAGTTCAAATATCTGCAAAATTACATGCAGTACAAACTTCCTGCAGTACAGGAAATAACAGTTGGTAGTTTAAGAGTACTTTAAAATTTTAATTTCTGTATAACTTAGTTTTTAACATTACTGGCAGGTCATTAACAACATGTTTTAACACTTTTAATTTTCAGGTAAGCAATACAGACTAATTTGAAGAAGAGTAATTAATCGTATCTGAATAACATTTTTGTAAAAAAATACAATAATTTTTTAGACTGAGAAGTAGGTAAGTGACCCTTACTTGAGGCTCTCCTGTGAGCTAGAAGATGACCTGTCTGACTGAGGGAGAGATGCTATACTGCCAGAATTCTTCAAGTACGTCTGGAGGCTTCTTTGATAAGGCGGCTCAAGGGAATTGTACAGAGTCTCTGCTTCACTAGGAAAGTGATTTCTAAGACCCAAATAAGCCCTGTAAAAAAAGAGAACAACCAACTGTAACTGTTCTTTATTTTCTTCAAAATATAGTCAGGATGTTAAAGATTACAAGGGATGAGAGCAAAAGGAACTTGAATTGGAAAGACAATGTATAAGAGAAACTCACCAACTCAGTAAGAAACCAATTAAATTGACCTGAGACATCTTCTTGAAAACAATTGAGTCTCTCTGTCCTCTGAAATTCTCCACTCACTTATTGATTCTAAGGGTAAGGAACAGTAATTCTACTAATTCTACTCTGGCCTAAACTAATGAAAATGCTGAAAAAAATTTGATAACTTCATTCATGAAGAAAAAAAAAAAAGAATGATTATACAGCAATATCAAACATTCTTTTTCCTATTTCACAAGAATCTGCAAATACTTTAAGAAGGTAGCAATTGCCTCTATCTTTAGAGTATTTTTCTTACAATAGAAATCAGATGTTAGTTGAAGACTCTGAGAACAGACACGTAACTTTTCAATCTAACTTCTGCCCTTTTCTGTAGCTAACACATTATGTATTGTCACCCTTCAACCCCTCATGTAAAATCTACAAATTTTCAGAGCAAAAAGTAGTACAGACTTACTTCCTTGCCTCCACTCTTGCTTCTGCATCAGCATCATGAATGCCTTTCTTGATTGTTTCAACTAAGACAGCTGCATGCCTAGAAGACAAACATTCCTCAGATTATTTTGCTTCTCCAAATTCAATTCTAAAGTAAGTAGTAAAGTTTAAATAGTTAAAATATAATAAAGTAAAAAAAAAAAAAAAAAAAAAAGAAAGCAAAGGGAGAAGTTCTAAAGTATGAAGCAAACAAATGCTTAAGCGTAGTGATGATATAACTGCACTGCTGTAGAGACTTAAGTAGGCTTCCCAGCTATTTCCTATTCTGAAGGTAGAAACTATGTTTTCTAAAAAAGTAAAGGCTACAGCAAAGGCAGACAAATGCAGGTTTGTTTTTTTTAAACAAAACAAACACATGAAAACACACTCCTTGTTTTCTTTAAGCCTTTGAAATGCTGACTATGTGTAAATACAGAGATATTTCAACAGTTCACTTCCTGGAATCAAAAAGTCTCTGGAAGAACCAACGAATATACCATGTGGGAAGGCACCCACAAGAATCACCAAGTCCAACTCCTGGCTCCACACAGAACAACCCAAAACTCCAACCCTATGTCTGAGAGCATTATTCACATGCTTCCTGAACTCTGGCAAGTTCAGTGTCACTGACACTGCCCTGGGCAGCCTGTTCCATGCTCACCGCCTTCTGCTGCAGACCCTGTCCCTAACCCCCAACCCGGCCCTCCCCTGGCACAGCTCCATGCCGTTCCCTCAGCCTGTCGCTGTCACACAGAGCAGAGCTCAGCACTGCCCTCCGCTCCCTGTGAGGAGCTGCAGCCGCCACCGGGCCTCTCCTCAGCTCCTCTGCTCTGGGCTGAGCAAACCAAGGGACCACACAACTGTTCCTCATACAACTTCCCCTCCAGACCCATGCCCATCTTCACAGCCATCCTTTGGAAGCTCTCGAACGTTTTTATGTCCTTCTTTATGTGCAGCGCTGGAGGTGAGGCCGCACAGCACAGAGCACAGCAGGACAGCCCCTTCCCTCTCCCAGCTGGCAGTGTGACCACCTCTGATGCACCACCTCTGGGTACTGCTGGCCCCTGGGGCTGTCGTGGCAGAATGCTGTCTCATATTCTTGCCATCAGCCAGAACCCCCAGATCCCTTTCTTTCTGTGGGGCAGCTCTTCCGCTTCTTGTCCTCAAGTTTGTACCCATGTCCTGGGCTGCCCAACCCCAGGTGCAGAACTTAGCACTTGCTTTTGTTCAACTTCACACCTTTGGTGATTGCTCAGCCATCACATGTGACAAGATGTTCAAGATGTTTAGATGTGGTACTAAGGGACACAGTTTAGTGGGAAAATACTGGAGATAGTTGGACTGTTGGACTAGATGATCCTGGAGGTCTTTTCCAACTTTTGTGATTCTATGATTCTAAGCTCTGTCTGCCTTTAAGGGAGTCAGCAACTCCTCCAATTTAGTGGCACCCTCAAACTCAGCATACACTTGAGTCCTGCTTCCAGACACCATCTCCAGACCAAGCCTTTATTTGACAGAAAAAGCACCTGATCCTGTAGAGAGGGGTGTGATTTAAAAGGCCTAAATTACATTACTGATTTTGTTAGCTTGCTCTCTACATTTCTAGAATAACCACTAAAAGCAAAAGAACCAAACAGGGGTTGCATATCTCCTGTTTATGTCATCAGCAAAATGCACTTAATGTCATTTAGGGCAGCCTCTGGGAGATTACTGATATTGAAGAGCATCACCAGACACATAGCTAATGCCTTGTGGAAGCTGTGCTACTAAAATCATAAAGTATTTGCAACATATGGTGACCAACTAGGCAGAGATTGCTACTTTCTTTGCTACTTGACTCCAGTTCAAACATCTCTTGCTGTGTGCAGGACCATCAATAAGTTCTGGTCAGTGACATCTGCTCTGCTGCTCGAGCCAACCAGGCCTTGGACACGACACAGCAGTATCCCAGTGGTAACATGGGCATCACAGTGAAGTTTGAGCACCTCCCAGCAGAATTGGCAGGACAAAACTGTCTCACTGCAAAAATGCCTCTACATGAGAGCTCTGGTAAAATTGAGACAAGAAAAATTAAAATTGAGATGCCCGAATCAGAACTGTCTTCTGTTTCTGAGCCAGAGAAGCTGGTTGAGGCCTCAGGCTCCCCTCCTCATTCTCCAGGACAGGATGAGAAAGAAAAATTTGGGATGCTGTCGATAGGAAGAAAAGGATTCACTAACTTTTTCAGATGAAGAGCAATTTCTCATATGCAATATAGGAAGAGAAGGAGAAGATAAGGAGAAGAGGCAGCAGGTGGGAGCGTACAGATTTCCTACCCCTTGGTACCTAAAAGAGCCACATGACCTGCTGTACTAGAAAGGCTGGCAAACATTCAATAACGTAATCAATTCAAGGATTCAATTAAAAAACTTCTGTATTAATATTCATTAGTAGTTTATTATTGGGGTAAAAATGTACAGGCCCATACCTTTCCAAAGAATGTGTTTGCCACTCTTGTAATAACAGGTCTAAAAATTCAAAGGAGCGCCTAAGAAGACAGAATAAAACAATTTAATTAATACTCATTTCTCCAGTGTGCTTGTAGAAAAAACAGAAACTTCAGTATTTTCATTCTGAGGGAAGAAATACTTAACATAAAAGCATGTTTAACTGTCAACACAACTTCAAACTTCAGAAATTTAAACATCTTTAGTTCAAATCATGTTATTACACAATTGGGAGATCGTAAGTTAGGTATGCATGTCTTTTATTTGCCCCTAAGTACAAGACACATCAGTAATTCAAAATTTGCACAAACTGTAATATCTTAATATTCAAAAATAATACATCAATACTTTAATAAGTCAGCTATTAAGTTACACCACAATGTTTTTCTACATTGTTACACCAGCATTGTTTTTGTGTCCCAAACACTATTCCCATCCTTCCACAAGTCTTTACAAAGTACGTCCCATGAAGGAAAACATGACACCATGACACCATTAATATGGGGACATACACACAGAAAGTACTCCTCAGTCTTTCCTGGCACTGAATATAACAAGTTATTTAACTGTATTTATTATAATTCAGAATACCTGACAACACAGCAGACACATGTTAGCAAATGCATATTCTGAAGCATGTCTGAAACTAGATCCTGGTGAACAAATCAAACTGGCACAGATTAGGAAGGTGTTTAGACAACTGAGACTTTGAAAAGGTAGTAGACTCTATGGTATAGAACTCTTATATTTTCTGGATATTTTTCACTTTAGACCTGTTATACATCATTTTTCTTCTGGCCAAATTATTTGGGCACGTATAAAACGTGGCAAAAAAAAGCCCTGAAAGGATTAGAAGTTCTTCTCATTACTGTAACTAATTTAGTTGGTTTTTTTTTTTGTTTTCTTTTTTTTTACAAAGGCAGTAAGTCAGTATGAAATACAATTTTGGCTGCCTTCACTGATGTGAAGATCGTGAACTGAAACCATTTTCCTTGACAAAGCTGACGTAAATGGAAATGCTGAAGCCTGCCCAGTGTTTTAAAGTAAAACAACAAGTTTTAACATGTTACTACAGTTTGGGTTGAGATAGTAGTTGCTTCGGATGAAAATGCAGCTTAAAAAGAGTAAACAGTGTAGGTGCTCAGTTATTTCTGGTAAATACATAGCTATATTGCACTCATGGTTACTGTGGATCCAGAAACAGCGTAAACTGCTTTTGAGAGATTTTGTGCAAAAAACGACAGACTATCAGAAGCAACAGGAGTCATTAAAAGCCCCATCAAGTACTGAAGTATCATTTTTTGGAAAAAACATGCTAAAGACGCACAGCAGCACTTAAAAATGGCAACAGATCGATCCACCATGTCATACCTCTACCTCAACCCAAAGCCCAGTGCTGTGGTATGCTTATTAATCTGGCACACACAGCCTAGTTCCACTTACAAAGTCCTCCACGTGCAGTAGGCAGCAGTAATGCAGTGTTCCTGCAAGAGCTAACCTCCCTAGGTCTGTCAGGACTAGCCCTAACTGCAGTTAATAATTCAGGCTGGCTCTTAGCAAAGACATGCATACCTAACTTACAATCTCCCAATGCCTCCCAGTACCTGGTCTGTTAGTTCTTGTTAGCCTTAGCACCAGAGATTCAACTCAGAACTTTTTTCCCCCTCTTCGATTTTAAAATAAAAGTTGCTTTTTCCTACAAGCGTTAAGAATACTTTAAATTAAATTCTGCAGAAGGACACAGTTCACATCCCTGATTATGTTAGAGAACACTATTCCTTACCGATGTCCAAGTAACTTTGCTTAAATTCATTACTGTTGCTCACTGGAACACACAGTTCCTTGTTCCTTGAGAGCTGACAGCTAAACTTTTTTAAAGCTTTTTACTTTCAACAAACAGTTATCATATTTAGACAGCAACAACCTCAATAATTTGCTATTTGAGTATATTGTAACATACCTTCTAACGGCAACCGATTTTGAGGTACAGTTGCTTGTTATTAAAGGTATGAGTCGGGGCACATGGGTATGCTGAAAAAAGTCAACAAAGTAGTTAATGACAAAAGTATTCCTGAATCTGCACAGTAACAATTAACTCAAACAGAATCAGCAACAATGCAAATCACAATTGGTCTCTTATTAGTAAGCTACATACAGGAGACTACTGCTAGCACATGCATTTATAAAGCTTCTGTTCATTTTCACAAGATCAAGCAAAATGTGCTTCCAACAAGAGTCAACAACCACACCACGATGTGCAGTGTTTAGCTGTGCAAAGTCATGACTGAAGGCTCAAATGCAATTTTCTCCTCAGAAGAGTTCTAAACAGATTTTTTTGTTCATTTGTTTTTCCTGAAGGAAAACTAAAGGCACAGCAGTCTTATAATCAGAGTTACGTAGCAAAAAGAAACCTGAATCTATGTGCTCTCTTTTAAGGTTCCATCAATATGGTTAACATTAAAAACATGAAATTATTTTTAATGCAAAATATGTCCATAGAACAATAAAGGTATGACATACAATATAAACAAACTTATGTATGAAATCTAAATGTAAACACCTAACGTTCTCATGGAAAAAGGAAATCCCTGAACTACCACTTGAAGCGTTTAAGATAAGCTACATTAAATCCAGATGCAATAATTTAATCCAGAATTAAAAGAGCCTTACTTCAGCTCATTTTATTTTAGACATAAAGCAGTACCATTTTAATTCCAAGTAATATGATTAAACAAATGCACTTTCTGTGAATTTCTTTATTCCTTTCTTGAATAAATACATCAAATGATTTGCAAAACAGCTCTGCTTACATTGCCAGAGTTTAAGTCTATAGAACCTGCTTCAAAGCTACAGTTCTGCAAAACTGTACTCTCATGTATCACTCTTTTCTCCTCAGTTTAATGTTACAGGATATAAACACAGAAATCAAAAGAGCCGACAAAGAATTATCAGCTCTCACAGTGCTGCCAGCTTCAGAATTAGCAGGGAATGAGTCCAAAAACCCACGAAAGCCTAGCAGCTGCAATTGTTCCTACTGTTTTTTGGTGTTTTGTTTATGTTTCCATAGTTTTAAATGGCCTGTAACTGCTACAAGAGAATAACAAGCAATACTGGGGACAAAAAAAATAAAATGGTTTCATGTACGAAACTTCCATGTTCCAAATCTGTGGAGATATCAACTCTGTACTTTCTGGAGTATGTTCGACAAAGGACTCAAAGGCTCAGGCTTGCTTTTATTCAGCTAAAAAGCACAAAGATGTGAACCAGCAGTCAGTGATTTCTGCTATGAGTTTTTCAGCACACATCAGTCATAACGGCTTAGGATTTAATACTGATCACAAGGTTTTCTTCACCTCACATAATTCAAGGGGGAGAGGTCTGCAGACAGGAGGACTGCATTTCGCTCAACTCTGATATTTATTTCTTCCATTTTAACACTGAGATCTGAATTTTCTGACTGTCAACGCACCCTGCAAATGCAATCTATTTATTGAGGATTTCAACAGAATGGGTAGGATGTTCCTGCATCCGTGTTTCTAACCCTGTATGTTAAAGGATAGCTAAAGATAATAGAAGCTTTACAAAATCAGCTGTAGCTGATGCACAGATTCATCTTCAACTGAACCAACAAAACCAATTTAACATAATTTAGTGATTTTTTTAATTTCATATTGCTTTCCTAGTGACTGATTTGCCACCGTAAGACAGTTATTTTCCTACATATCTGAACTCATCTAATTTGACTGTGAACAATATTCTTCTCTCAGAGAGAACTGTAATCATACTATGTAAGGATGTATTCCTTCCTCAACTCCATGCCATCAGTCATCTCAGAATGTACTGTAAAACTCTGGGAGGGAAATACTGATACATTTTAGCCCAAGTGCTGATGCAAAGGTGATGCAGAAACTCTCAAGAATACCTTCTTTGAAGCATGGTCAGACAATGATAACTTCAGATTCCAAAACATAATGAGCACAGCAACAGAATGTGTGAGTGGTCAAAAAACTTAAGTTCCTAAAACTTCAGAAAACTACAGCTGTGACACTGTTACACCGATGACATCAAACAGAACTAAGCGACTTGCATAAATAACTAAAGAATAACACAGCATTTAACTGGAAATTAGAAACTACAGGCAACCTCCCACTCCTATACAAAACATAAATACGGCAGTACAAGTTCCAGAAGTCCAGTTAAGTATGTTGGCTCAGACACAGGTTGTTAGTAGATGCTTAAGGAACAGACAATAAAAAAAAACAAAGCTAGCCTACAATATTCTCCTCTATGTATTATAGCTTTAAGGAATCAAAAGCTTAGAAAGTCCTCAAACTCAAGGATTACAAATCTCTGTGGCACTCTTCTCCAATAAACTTGTGCCTTCTGAACTTATCTATACTTGTCTGAGCTCTTCAACGTTCTGTTATGAACTCCATGGAATAAGTAAGTAAATATTTATTTTGTATTCATATATGTAATACACACATGTAAAGAGATATTTTATATATTGATGTACATTAATGCTACATATCAATATATGCATGTGTTGATACTAAATGTGTTATAAATGATAATTCTCTTGCAGAAAGGATTTTATCCAGTAATCTATTATAAGCTTGCTGACTGGTAGCTTACTCTGTCTTTTGCAAAAGGTCAGATAAGTTCTGCAACTGCCTTTTTTTTTTTTATTATTATTATGATTAACACTGTAAAAATCATGAAAACAGACTTGCTTTTTATACTGATAATATCATTACCGTGATAATGTTGTCTTACACAAACAATAAATAATACTTGTCTTCTCAGAAGAAAAATTATTTATCCAGTGTTAAACAGTCTTTAAAAAGTTACTGGATAATTCTAATATTTCCAACTTGGTCCTATCTCTATTAAGAGCAGCTATCTATTTCTAGCAAACATAACTGAGTGGAACACCTACCCGAATAATGAATCTAATGGCTGCACACCCAGAAGTTGCCATCACTTTGGCGCTGTTGGGCACCAGATTAAAAAGAGTAGGCACGATAGCTTCAGCGCCATGATCAAACTTGTTTCCCAAAACAGTTGAAAGATGGCTATATAGGAAAAAGAAATGGAGCTGATTAGTCGAAATTAATTTCTTAGTTACGTAGAATGCACAATGAACTTTGTTGTTTTAACATTAAACAGCAGAATTTCTCATTTTCATTATTTCCAAGTCTTTGCCTCACTGGAAGCATAGGATTTGCAGAACTTTTTTATTACTTAGCAGACACACTAGAAGATTTAACTATGTAACTTTATTTCGTAATGAAAAACAAATACCACAATATGAAAAGCTAATATTCTCATCAAAATGCTGGCAAAACTGAGTTCATCATAGTAAGCTATCCATAAAAATGTACTCCATTTTTTCAACGTTGTAATTTCAATCCTAACAAATATGGCAACACATACAGCACAAAGTAACATCATTGTCCAGTGGTGACAACAAATGCTTCCATGCAGGCAGACTGTACATATAAAAAGAATCTGGAAGTGACAACAAATACATCACTGTTTTAGGGATCATGAAAAATTCCTAACTTTTAGGTCTGGATGAGGACATGACACAGTATGCTTATGCTACTATCGACTTCACATTAGGAAACAATAATTATGTTCTCAAACCCTGAATTTTCCTGGCAAGGACCGCTGTATGTTCCAGCAGCATACCATGGTCTGTTCTATCACAAGGCCAAAAGAGCAAGGGTGAATTGGGTGAATTCTGGGACATACACAGCCACTGCATACCAATGAGTAGATTAATGCCTTTACAAAGGGGCAAAAAGCCATAGAAAAGATGGAAATAGGAAAAACTGCCCTGCTGTAAACATAGGTCTTCCCCCTCTCCCCCCATCTTATACCCCAAAATAATGAGGGCAGAGGTCTTAATTCTGTTTGTCAGGGCTCTTAAGACTGTCACGGAAATTTAATATTATTGCCTCATCAAAACGTACAAAGTTCTATTTACGCTTTCACTTGAGTTTTACCTTTTTAATCGCATCTCAGACAATTCAAGTCAAGTGGAAGGGATCAAAGTGCACTGCAGCTCACTTTTATAGTCACAGTAAAGTCCTACGCCAAACACTCAAGTGCTTTTAAGACTAAGCCCTGACGTTACAGCAGTACCTGCTGCAGTTTGTACTAACGCTAAGCACTTGGTCTAATGATGGTAACTTCCTCTTCACATACAGTGTTTTACAAGGATTATTGACTATATTTATCACCTAAAAGAACAAATTACTTTGAAATGTTTCTTTTACATTATCCCTATAGCGTCAGATCTTGACACGTTATCAGTAATAGTGTACAGCAGCCCAGCAAGACAGTCTTTCCTGCAACACTGGTAAAGCACTTTTAAGTCGAATTCACATGGTCTGGATGAAGAGTTATGAGATATGGTTTAGTGGCTTGTGGTAGCAATGGCAATGAGAGGGCGGTTGGACCAGATGATCTTGTAGGTCCTTTCCAACTCTGTGACTCTATGACACTAAAATCTAGCAATGTACACAAACAAATGTAAAACTATACTTACGCTACAGTAATACAAGCTTCTCTAACCACCTGGGATCTGAGATCCTTGGCTGACAGCTTAAACGCACCGTCCAACAACCGTAAGTGCTGGAAAAATCCATCATACTGTGCAGCTCCAGCAACAAGCAACGACCGAACTTTCTTGAGCTAAAAAATGCAAGGTGTCCAGTTTAGCACACTACTAATACATATTCTCCTTAAAAATAATAATAATAATTTTTAGAAGTATCAAATTATTGTAAAAATGTACAGATGTACGTCTCCAGTTTCAAAGTTGAAGGCAGCTCTTGAGACAACTGTGCATGAAAATGTTTAAGTGTATGGGTAGCGTGCCTGTCTCCAGCAAAGTCTAATTCCACAGAAGAGGAACATTATGTTAGTCAACAATAAGGAACCTAAAGCAAATCACATTTTCACGTATACGGTAGTAACTTAAAAACAGTTAAAAAAATTATTACGTAAATTCTGGAGATAGAAAGTCTTAAATCTCAGTCTACAAATACACACATACACAGCTATGTTCACGTACCCGTTTCTGAATACTTACTAAGATACCCAAACTAGATGAAGAATATAGCTGCCACATACACACAGACATTTTAATTCCAGAAGTAAATGTTACTGTAGCCACACAAGGGATACCAATGCTAGCAGTTTACCTGCAGAGTATGTAATTTTGAAGACATGAAGAAATAAAAAACCAACAATTATGAGGGCTTTTAGAAAAGCTTCCACTCAAACGCCAACAAAAATACACTTCAGCCCTTTAAAAAACACTTGTCCAAAGCTTATTCTGAAATTATTTGATACATGGAAGCTCGTGGTTTTAAAATGTAAAATAAAATTGCCTTGGAGCAATTTTGTGAGTGCTATCACTAAGAAAAGCATTTTCAAATATGCAGTCACCCATATAGTGGAAAATGCAACCACCCACACTTGGCATCAGACAGAAGGTTTACCGCATTGGTTCGTTGATCCCAATCATGTTTGTCATCTGAGAGGATTTCCCTGATTTTGTTCAACGTTTCTTCAAGTTCTCGACTCGAATAGATCTGGAATATTAAAAACACAGAAAAATTCCCAGTTAGCATGATGAAGGAAGCTAGTTGAAGACGACTGAAAATTCCATTGTAATTCTGAAAATCTTGCCCTTCCTATACAACACGAGAGGACTATGCCAGTGGTATTAAAAGCAATTTAAAGCAAATACTGAGGATAATACTAAGCAGCGAATGCTCACTAACAGAAAAAAGAATCAATATGTTCCTCAAGATTTCACCTTTCATTAGAAATTCATCTTTCATAAGAATTTCATTACCTCATATTTTTTGGCCTTTTTTTTCAGATTACAATTCACTATGATTTTAAATAATCTGTTGTTCACTGAATATGCAAAATTTAAGGATTTTTTTGTTTTTTTTTCCCCAGCTTCAGAATAATATGAAGGAGATAGGAAGTAAATTATTGAAAACTGCTCTGGCCAGAATTCTTTCAACAGCATATTTTAAGCTAAGGACTTCCAGTTTCTTGCAGTCAAAGTAGTTTACGTAAACATACTGAACTACATTCAATTGCTCAGACACAGGCATCTGGTAGCAAGTGAGACATCTACATGGGGTGCCAGATATTCTGCAGGACTTCCAGAAGACCTGTGCCCTATAAAGTGGAAGTGACCATTAGAACTTATGTAGAAACTCAACACTAGTGATTGATTCTCACTAATTATCTGCTTAAATGCAAGGTATTACTTTTGTATGTTCAAGAGCACAGAGTGTGTAGTGGAAATGAGGGCCAGTGGTTAGGAACACCTCACTTTGCACTTTCACTCTGGTCTCTTGCACACACATCTTTCATTTTATTCTGCAGATTTACAAATCTCTCTCTTCTGTTTTACAGTTAAGCCAAATCCACACTTTTCAGAAAACAGTTTATTTTCCTGTGCAACTTTAAACAACCAGCTTTCCAATGTCCTGACTATACTAAACTAATTGAAGTTACAGTAGCTACAGTAGACTAATTTCTACCTTTTCTCCTATGCTCTGGCAACAGAACACAGTAATGATGTGGAAAATATCCATGCTTTACAGCACCTGCATATCTGAACAATCTGATAAGCATGGTAGGAATCTTAGCTGCTCCTCTTTACCACCACCACCTTGCTATGTCTTGTTCCTAATTCAGGGCTTTAACATACAGAAAAATATATCAATTCAGCAGCCAATGCCAACTTATCCCAAAAGCAAAATGCAAGCACAAGGGGAGCATGATCATAGCTTTTGGCAGCAGCTAAATAGGACCTCTTTGGTGTACACATTGGACTCAGTCTGAGGTTCTGGTAAAGCTGTCTCACTGAGAGGGCCCTCAAAAACAGGCCAATTTCTGTTCTCAGCTAATGAGGGATCTCAGTCCATGAGCTGTATTTAATGCCACGGGATTGTAATTGCTGGGCAATAGACAAAAGCAGAAGCAACATGTACAATGACTTTAGTTAGCCCTACCTGCATGCCTAGGCAAAGAAGTTAAAATTCTGATTACCCAGCAAAAACAGAAATGGGTCTAAGCAAATTCAAATTGCTATTCAAATTGGCTTTTTAATGAACAATTTAGTAAATGGCATAACTTTAATTATAATGAAATTAAAATATTTCCACTAAAAATCCCAAATATACTCTTCATACATAGTTTCAAAACAAAAGCTATGTTTTTTAATCTTTTTTCCCTGCCTTTGATTAATCACGCTTTATACTTTTGTGAGTTTTGAGTGCAGACAACAATTACACTTTCTTTTTTTCACAAGTCTCAATGCCAGACATTTATACAAACAAATATTCGTTTGGAAAAAGAACGTAGCTATTGATGGCTATTATTCCTATCGACATGACAACTGAGTTTTTTGCTTCCAGTTAAACAAAAGTGAAAAAAGAGTTGTAAAACTATTCAGTTTGTAAGCTAAATATGGAGGCACAGTCCTCACAGTCTATCACAGTGCTGTAAGTAAAGAACTCATTAGCAAAAAGAGCCATTGCACTGTATCTCAAAATAACCTATCTTCTCTATAGGCTGCAATTATCCATTGGAGGGTAACATACACGCTCAGCAGTGATGGTAAATGCCACATTGAAGACAGAAACATTAAACACTCCAACACAAATTAAAGAAATAACTAATTGGACAGAAGGTATTTCCAGATAAGTATTACAAACTAGATAGGAGTAAACAATATGATCTTCCTTAAAGATCAGTGGTTTGTGCAGTCATTTGAATAGCCTACTGGAAAAGTAGAATCACCACTGAAGGTTTTTAGGAGCAAGTTAAACACACAGAGAAAATACTCTGAATTTACTTGATTAATCCAGGCGCTAATTAACTTCATTGAGAGTATTTCCATAATAAATTTCCTTCCCTTGTTTTTACTGAAATCTCTACTAAGACCCACACAAGTGTAATGAAACATGGAAACAGGTCCAGCAACACAGAAACAACATCCTCTATCCATTCTAACAGATTTTGGTGCATTGCTAATTCTTCCCAGGGTCTATCCGAAAAACTTCTCCCTTCCACAGTAACCAATTGTTGCCCTTGTCCTCATGGGGGACTTTAACTTCCCTGACATATGCTGGGAGTACAGCACAGCACAGAGGAAGCAGTCTAGGAGGTTTCTGGAATGCGTAGAGGACAACTTCCTGGTACAGCTGGTCAGAGAGCCCACGAGAGGAACGGCCCCACTAGACCTGCTGTTCACAAACAGGGAAGGTTTGGTGGGAGATGTGGAGGTTGGAGGCTGTCTTGGACAGAGTGATCATGAAATGATAGACTTCGTGATTCACAGTGGAGCCTGGAGGGGGAATAGTAATACTGCTACCTTGGACTTCAGGAGGGCAGACTTTGAATTGTTCAGGGGACTAATAGGGGGAGTCCCCTGGCATTCAGTCTTAGCGAGCAAAGGGGTCCAAGAGAGCTGGTTGCTCTTCAAGAAGGAAGTCTTAAGGGCGCAGGAGCAGGCAGTCCCCCTGAGCTGCAAAATGAGCCGGCGGGGAAGAAGACCGGCGTGGATGAATAGGGAGCTATTCCTGAGGCTCCGGGAGAAAAAGAGAATCTACCGCCTGTGGAAAGAGGGACAGGCCACTCAAAATGAATACAGGAAAGTTGTTAGGATGTGTAGAGGTGAAATCAGAAAGGCAAAAGCCCAGCTTGAATTTAACCTAGCTGCTGGTGTGAAAAGGAATAAGAAACTCTTTTATAAATACATTAACAGTAAGAGGAGGACAAAGGAGAATATCCACTCTTTGCTGGATGAGGCTGGGAATGTGACCACTGAGGATAAGGAAAAGGCGGAGGTTCTGAATGCCTTCTTTACGTCTGTCTTTAAAAGTCAGACCAGTTATCCTCAGGATACCCCTCTCTCTGACCTGGTAATCTCGGCCGGGGAGCACACTAACCCCCCTGTGATTCTGAAAGAAACAGTCAGAGACCTACTGCTCCAGCTGGACTGTCACAAGTCGATGGGGCCAGATGAGATCCACCCAAGAGTGCTGAGGGAACTGGCGGAGGTGATAGCCGAGCCACTTTCCATCATCTGTCAGCGCTCCTTGTTGACTGGTGAGGTCCCAGAAGACTGGAGGCTTGCCAATGTGACTCCCATTTATAAGAAAGGTCGTAAGGAGGATCCGGGGAACTACAGGCCTGTCAGCCTGACCTCGGTGCCAGGGAAGGTTATGGAGCAGATCGTCTTGAGGGAGATCATGCGGCATGTGCAGGGTGACCGGGGGATCAGGCCTAGCCAGCATGGGTTCATGAAGGGCAGGTCCTGTTTGACCAACCTGATCTCCTTCTATGATCTAGTGACCCATCTGGTGGATGAAGGAAAGGCTGTTGATGTGGTCTACCTAGACTTCAGCAAAGCCTTTGACACTGTCTCCCACAGCATTCTCCTGCAGAAGCTGGCAGCCAGAGGCTTGGATGGGTACACTCTTGGCTGGGTAAGGAGCTGGCTGGAGGGCCGGGCACAGAGAGTGGTGGTGAATGGAGTTAAATCCAGCTGGCGACCGGTCGTGAGTGGTGTTCCCCAGGGGTCGGTGCTGGGGCCTGTCCTCTTCAATATCTTTATTGATGACCTGGATGAGGGCATCGAGTGCACCCTCAGTAAATTCGCAGATGACACCAAATTGGCTGGAAGTGTGGATCTGCCTGGGGGTAGCGAGGCCCTACAGAGGGATCTGGACAGGCTGGAGAGCTGGGCTGGAGCCAATGGGATGAGTTTCAACAAGGCCAAATGCCGGGTCCTGCACTTCGGCCACAACAACCCCAGGCGACGCTACAGGCTTGGGGCGGTGTGGCTGGAGGACTGCGTAGAGGAAGTGGACCTGGGGGTATTGATTGATGCTCGGCTGAACATGAGCCGACAGTGTGCCCAGGTGGCCAAGAAGGCCAATGGCATCCTGGCTTGCATCAGAAACAGTGTTGCAAGCAGGAGCAGAGAGGTGATTGTTCCCCTATATTCAGCACTAGTGAGGCCGCACCTCGAGTACTGTGTCCAGTTTTGGGCCCCTCACTGCAAGAAAGATATTGAAGCCCTGGAACGTGTTCAAAGAAGGGCAACAAAGCTGGTGAGGGGTCTGGAACACAGGCCATATGAGGAGAGGCTGAAGGAGCTGGGAATGTTCAGCCTGGAGAAGAGGAGGCTCAGGGGAGACCTTATTGCTCTCTATAACTTCCTGAAGGGAGGTTGTAGTGAGCTGGGGGTCGGCCTCTTCTCTCGTGTCATTAGTGATAGGACCAGGGGGAATGGTTTCAAGCTACGGCAGAGGAGATTCAGGCTGGACATGAGGAAGTATTACTTTTCAGAAAGGGTGGTCAGGCACTGGAATGGACTGCCCAGGGAGGTGGTGGAATCACCGACCCTGGGGGTGTTCAAGGAAAGACTGGATGTTGCGTTGAGGGACATGGTTTAGTAGGAGCTATTGGGAATAGGTGAACGGTTGGACTGGGTGATCTTTTAGGTCTTTTCCAACCTTAGTGATTCTATGATTCTATGATTCTAAATGAAAGTTTCACAATGCGGTCTCAGATTGCAGGGCGTTTCCTTTTTTTTGAGAGATCAGAGATTGAGATTGGACATCAGAAAGTCATTATTCTTAAAGATAATAAGCATTTACTTTTATTTTTTGACCGGCTAGTAGGTCTTACATTCTCATATATTACAGATTAGGTTATTCTGGGTCAGTTACACATTCCTCTTTGCCTCTCCACTTCAATTAAGGGCTGTTAGTGAGAGCAAGGTGGTCCTTCTGCTCCTCCACCATCTGCAGTTAAGCAATGACCTACCTTCCCAAGTCATCCAGCAGAGTCAGAGAAAAAAATCTCCCCCCCCACACACACACATCCAAGTATTCCACTTCTATTCTCCCAGTGTTATTAAGCAATTTGAGTGATCAGAGAACTCTGCTCAGGACTGTAAATAGTGAAGTATCAAATTATAGGCAGCATGTTTTCAGTGTTGTGGAATATGACCGGTCAACATAACACGGCCAAATAATATGAAAAGATTGATGGTCTTGCTCTCCAAAGAATTCTTAACAGCTTGGAGAGGCAAAGAAGAAACAAAACCTTTACAGCATAAACAAACTTTTGCTGAACGAGACAGGAACCACGGAGATAACGTTTGTTCATTAAAGCAGACAGTATTTCAGTCTGTAAAATGACATCTAACAATGAACTACATTATCATCTTCAAATAAATATATAATATAAAAATACATAACATATAAATAAATATATATAATATTTAAATAAAAATAGAACAGAAGGATATATCAAGAGAAAGGAGTTGTACAAAATCTTGCTGGTGTTTTAAAACTTTGGCTGAGTTTTTGGCTGCCTTGCACTCCTCAGCTGCTCAAATAAAACATGAGTTAGGTGACTCAGCTCATGTGTGAGTCTCTGGCTTATGGAACTGTTAAAAGAGAAGATCTTAACTTCCAACAACTCAGCATCCAAAAGGTTCATTAGTATTCAAATAAGTCACTATAAGGTTTCTCTTTTTTTGAAGTATTGCTACAGATGAGTGCGTGTATGACAAGCATCATTAGAATTCAAAAAGTCAGGGTCGAAACTGTAATTCCTGCTTTTAAAATTATTTGCTTATATTATTATTAGTTGCTTATCCCATGAAACTTCAAATCCTGTCTTTCCCTAAGATTATGGAAATGTTTTTCTTATTAAAAATTGAAACACGCAATTATTTTCAGTAACTCCTTGGAAAAGATTAAGTAAAGTAATAATGCATTTCAACTGAAACGATGGGATTATAATTTGTAAAATAGTCTTAAAAGGTGGGTTTTGCTAATTAACAACTGGAAAAAATAATAAGTTTTCATGGAGGATGTAAATTGCAGAGCTCATAAAGACAGAAAGGTAATGGCACCTCAGTTGAAAGACTATAAAATTATAAGAATAAGCTAAGACAGTGCTGTAAATAGCATATTCCTGAAACAAAAGTTAGCATACACAGCTTACCTGTACAGTAGGAACATCTGTAAATGCCTTAATAAAATCATCTTCATCCACAGCTCCAGCTCCTCCTTCTTTAGAGGAACCTACAAAAACATAAAATAAGGTTAAACAGAATCTAATGCACATCCAGGTTTTCAAAGTGAAAGAATTAGCTTTCAACCTGTTTTCAAACAATTAATACAGCTCACAAAAAGCCAGAATATTCAACCTTTGTAAAACTGCAACACTGATTTCACCTTAAAGTTAAAAAACAAACAACAACAAAGAAACCTTTTCATTCTTTGAGAATTCTAAGCAGCTTCCAATGACAAAGTTAATGGTTTAATTTTATCATTTTTATTTGTGCTTAACCAGAAACGTGTTCAGTACAACGTGTAAAGGTGATCAGGATTGCATCCTGATAATGCAAACACTCCCAAGCACAAAATTTCAGATTTTTCAGCTGAAATGGAGGCATCAGCTGGAGCAGAGATGTATTTTACTTACTACAGCACAAATAATCATAGAATCATGGAATGGCCTGGGTTGAAAAGGAGCACAATGACCACCTGGCTCCAACCCCCCGCTATATGCAGGATCGCCAACCAGCAGACCAGGCTGCCCAGAGCCACATCCAGCCTGGCCTTGAATGCCTCCAGGGATGGGGCATCCACAGCCTCCTTGGGCAAATAACCATCATTAAATGAAGTTAAGCCTGAGAGGCCATCAAAAACACAAAACGAGGACTTTCTGACAAAACAAACACTCAGTGGCTACAGTCTTCACAGATGTTTTATGGTTTACAGACCCAGACCTTCTATTTATAGTGCAGGGCTAAGCACTGCTATGACTGTACTCTTGTGTACTTCAAAGTGTGAGCATCCACTTCAAGTATGGTTCAGATTGCAGACTGAACAGACCTGAACACCCCTATGCAGATTAGGTTCTCTCCCGCTCCTTTGAAATTGCAGTTCAAGAACACTTTTGAATGATACCTACCAGAATTTGGACACTTCAGCATTTCTGTATCATACCGAAAGCAACAAGCCTGAGCTCAATAATACTGTATAAGGGAATATAATTTATCTAAAGGATAACAATTTCTGATGTTAGAAAAAAGAGGGACACACTGCTACTACTGAGGGATGCAGCATCAATTAGTTAATTTAAACAGCCCATTTTTTTCTTAATTTACTGATCCTCAAAGTGCTTTTACAGCTTTGCCTTTGTCTGTACTGCAGAAGGAAGAAAATATTGCTCATCTTCTTTCCCGATTGCTTGGTAAGTATTCTGATCAACTCCCTCAATAGAATTACTTCTATAGAGAGCAAGAAAAAAAAATTTCAGAGAATGAGATCCATTGTGATTAACTCTGCTGGCAGAATTTAACAGGCACACAATTGAAGATACCCTTCCAAAGAACCTCTCATGCATTTATAAAGCTTGCCTTTCCTCCACAAAAGCAATGCCAGAGCTTTACAAAACTCCTATTTAAAAGATGCTCCCCTCAGACCTATAGCTGACAGATCTGGCAGAGTATGCCACAGTCTGATAAGCTGTATGCCTGTTGTTCTTAGACCCAGCTATGACAGCACATTTTCCAGAAGCATACCTTTTAACTATTAATGCCTTCCACTAAACAACGCATGTTATTAACTTACAGCCACATAACACATCGTCTTTTTATCAAAGACAATTTCAATTGCATTCCTGACAGTAAGGACACTGTAAGTAATTCCAAGGGCCTGTAAGCCCACTGCATTTAATATCTGCAAGTACACAGCAGATAACTAAAATCCAGAGCCTCATCAAACAGCTCTGTCTTTGAAGAGAGCTATCAGTACCACTGCTGGATCTAGACCCCTATGCAAAAAAAAGAGCAGAAATGAATCTGAAAGAGATGAACAATGCACACAAGACATTTATACACAATTTTCATCCTCTTGTTACTGATCAATTATAACTGTCACCAGTTCTTATCATTCAAGCAGCCTGGTTAGAAGGCTCACAAAGCCACCTGCAGGCCTTGATTCCACATCAGGAAGCTGGTGAGAACGTACTCAAAATAACAGTCTTGATATGGAAGAAAATTACAGCATATTAAGCATCTCCAACTTCGGTGCTTTCATCTTAGCTTGGATGTGTGTGGGGATGGAGGCAAAGGAAATGTGCCCCTTTCTTCTTGCACTTTACTACGAGAGATGACACCTTCTTAAGTTCAATTCAAGAATTCCTACTGTTTATAGAGGCCCTGTGACTTGTTTTTTTTCTTTCTGGAAGAAAGTTTCTTCCCAGTCACAAGGTTTTGAGCTGCTTAGTAATGTGAAAAGCTCAATAACCAGAACAAGTCCTGAATGCAAATTAAAAAATTAAGTTTGTTGGATTTTGGTTGCTGGTTTTGTTTATTTGTTTAGTAAAAGCAGTTTTAACAACCAGGCATTAAAGTCCTCTGCAAATTTCTTCCTCTTGCTTTTAAACTATAACGCTCGGAATCTTACGATGCCACTGCAATGACTTGGGATCACTGTCTTGCTTTACCATTTTCATGCTCTCTCCACAACTACCTACAAAGCTCTCCAGGATGGGACAGTAACAGCATAACAAAGAACACATTAAGGAAGAAGAAATACAGCATTAGAATAGTAGTGGACTGATATTTTTCTGCTGAAACAAGGAACAGCCTAATCAAAGCATGATCAACTATTTAACAAAGCATAAAAACACTATCTCAAAAATTAAAAAAAACAAGTGTTCTACTAGTTTTTTTATAGAATCACATCTTCACTGGACCAATTCAAGTCTTTCTTTATTTTACTTCCCTGTTTTTTTTTGTTAGGATTTCAAATATATACTGTCCAATTAAGAAACTCGAAGACATGCATCACAGGCACTGTGATGACAGGTGGGCATGATGGCAAGGTGAAGCTTGAGCATCTTTAAGGGAAAACAAAACAGTTCTCTTGGATTTTGTTTGCTGACTAGAAGGACAAACACTGGCTCATCTCAGAAATGTCTCTTTGGGAGAGCTTCAGTCCAATAAAGACAAGAAAAATTAAAACTGAATCAAAAACCTGAATCAGAAACGCCTTCAGTTTCTGAGCCAGAGAAGGTAGTTGAGATCTCAGGCTCCCCTTCTCCTCATCCTCCAGGACAGGATGAACAAGGAACAACTGCGGATGCTGCTGCAGCATGGATGAAGGAAAAAAATGATTCACTAGCTTTTCAGATGAACAACAAACCAGATGTTTCCCTCACATTTCTAATCA